CTGGTTGGGGCCGTCCCAGAGTTTTGATTGATTCTCTGTTCACGCCCCATTGGCAACTGGTTGCCCCATTTAGGGTCTGGCTTCCAACGTTGGCTTCCAAAAAGAACATTGAATATGTGCTCTTCGGCACGTCGCCACTCGGGTTTCCACGCACGTGCGCTCGCAACTATCGCCTTCCATCATGAAGCCAGATATTGCACGGGCAAACGGATTCGCGAGCTTGAGCCCAAAAGTCCTTTGAGAAAGCGCCGCAACTTCACGCGATCCAAATCGAGTGGCAAGCGTTCCCCTCCACACTTACAATCGGGTCCACGCTGACATCCTTAAATAACCTTATCGGGGTTGAAGTGAAACTGCCGCCGAAGCAAACTGTGAGAACTCCTATCATGCAGCTATACTCGCACTTGCCCATGTCTTCAGTTCGCCCACGAAAACTCGAACCCTGCTTTTTTAAGAGCACCCAACCACGCGCATCACTCTCATAAGTAAAGCTTGTGCCGCGGACTCCGACATCTGGCCAATTCAATCATATTGCAAACCAAATTGATTCATGTATGTATGTATGTATGTATGTATGTATGTATGTATGTATGTATGTATGTATGTATGTATGTATGTATGTATAGGCGGCGAAGGCACCCATTGGTTGGAACTATCCTTTACCAACCTTCAATCTACCCGAATTGGTTTTGGGCAAGTGGCTCTGTTGAAAGGAGCATTGCGTTCAAAAGGCAAAGAATCAACAGAGTGCCGCATGCTTGGGAACCCAACTCTTCCCCCTGGGGATCTGCTTGTTGCTCAAGTGAGACAAGATTCGTTTGCCTCCCAGAACATCTCGGCACCTGAAGATTCCGCGCTCAAATCAAGCAAGCCCTGAGAAGCTTGCTTTATTAATAGGGTGCATCGGTTAATAGGGCGAGCAGAGTGCTTGTAGTGCTCAATTGCTGATCAACTTTTTTGGTCAATCCTTTTGCGCAGGGCTGTGCTGTCCTTGTTCACCAGCTTCGAGTTGGTTTGCACTAACCTTTGCCGTTGCTTTGACCAAGACCCAAAGAACCCGCTCCAAGGCTTTCATCTGCTTAAGCCCCCAGAGGAAAAAGAAAAAAACAACAACATAAACACATTTCCAGTAGTGATATGATAGATTCCCTGTAAAACCATCAAATATATATATATATATATTCTTTTCAGCAACTAGAAGAAGGGGTTGGGGGATAAGCCGTGCCAACCCAAGGACTGAAGAAGTCTGGGTGGAGTCCCGGATTTGGATTCTTTGTCCCGGATGGCTCAATCCGCTCATTGGTAAGCCAAAAAGTCTCCCAATACCAAATCTGACCGAATTCTTAACTCCTGAATTTCCCGTCGACCCTGGCTGCAGTCGAAAGGGTCATTTTGCAAGCAGCACTAGACCATACTAAACCGTTGCTAAACCCTCAAGGGTTGTTTCCAGCTGATAAGACAACAACTCTTTTCCACACATCTGACCCAAGGATTGCAGTGACATCCCCAAGAGCAAGAATGCACCCTATTCATAAATATGCTTGGCCTCGGGCAACATATTCATTAGGGGGGCTGTATGTATTAGGATTATCAGGACCACCAAAACGGATTGACCGACGAATGTCCAAACATTATCGTGAAACTATCACTAGAGAGGTCCCAAAGGTTCGTCCAGAAACTTGTGCGAAAAGGAACATCCGACCAGGAAGAAATCAAGGCAAGAGGGTTGGGTGCGTTAGCGCTGCGCCAACATATCGCCCAGAAACGGTGCTGCACTATTTTTCCGCCAACATCAACGCACTCCACCCCAAGAAATCACTCAATGAGTCTCAAAAGGTTTGGTCCACGGGGACTGAGCGAGGGCAATCTCTGGCCGCCTTCACAGCTGGGGACCCAAATACATCTTGGGCACACTCTTGGGCACTGGTCTTACTGAACTTCTCGGTACCAGCTTTCTGAGTCTCAGAGGGCCAGCTAAATTGAGCTGGACACCGTTTGGTCCTTTAAAAACAAGAACGAGTCCACCGTTTGCGACGCAGCCCTGGCCAAGTTGCCGAGGCCGACAGCCAATGCGCATTTCCCATGGCCGGAGGCGCATTTGGGGAGTATGGATCCATGCGGTCTGGGCTTCTCTTCCAAAGACGTGGCAAAACCACGATTTGCCGTGCAGACCTGCATGAATCCACACAATGTGCACAACATGTGGAACTTACAAGATCACTTTCTGTGATACCAAAGTGCCCGGGAGTACTTTGTTACTCAAACAGGGATAGTGGCTCCAAATCGCAAAGGATTGTTTGCATCCGAGTCACAATCGAAAGGGCTCTACCCACATGGTAAAGAATCAAAGGGCCAGATATTCGCACCCATTTCCGGTTGGAACGCAAAAAACTGTTTTCAGGATGCTCATTTCATTGTTCCGGTAGGCTGAATGATTTAGTCATCATCTTCTTGGGGAGGTGAGTGACTGCACCTGTCTGGTTGCCTAATGGCTGTCATCATGTGGCTCAAACTTCCGGAGCTCGGAGCCCAAAGCCAGCGTCGCCCGAAAAAGAAACCCCAGGTTACAGCCGATTTGAAAGGACACCACTAGTCTGGGGCGTTGATTCCTTTTCCATTCTTTTCAGCCCTTCTTTTCAAAAACCGATCGCCATTTCCCCAGGGTTTGTGGTGGCTTTCTAGAAAGATTCGGATCCCTGGAAAGAATGAGGAAGTTGCCCTAGAAATAGGGGAAAAACACATGTTTCTTGGGCACCCTGTATATAGATCCATTGCCTATTGATGCAGGTGTTGTATACGAGGTATGCACACACGCACACACACACACACCATATATGATTATATATCTACACATGTTAGGCATGGCATCCAACAGTAACTCTTAAAACCCCCCCACACCCCTTCCCGAGACACGCTCTCCTCCACCCTTTCCCGCATCCCGTACCTTTTGTTTTGCACCTAATCCAGTATGTTCCCCCCAAACATGTCTCCTCCCGGCCTTCACTGTAGTCTTCGGCCAATAAAGGCAGTCGCTCATGCGCATGTCAATATATATATATATACACACATGTATTCATGCATATATCGCTACCGCAGCCTTGGGCCGCTACCGCAGCCTTTTGCGCCAACCAACATACACATGTTTAGATTCTGGCCCACATTTCGTGAACGTTTAAAGACACCATGATGCTCAACGAGGTCCCACATAAAAGGGAAAAAGGGATCTCCCCATTTTCCCTACGCTAATCAAACGCGCCTTTGGTTGACGGAAACTACGCAAAGGCAACGACGCATACCCAAGCAACAAGTACACGGATCGCAATCATTTATGGATTTGATAGGGCATGTGTGGGTAACAAGTAGTCCACATAGGTAGGCTAAAGTCCAAAGATCCGTCAGCAAACAGCCACAAAGAACGGTTCGATCCATTGGTCCTGCAACCAGTAGCGCAAAGGAGTGGAATGTCTGAAAGGGTCAGACGTAGGTCCCCCAAATCACAAGTCAAGCGACCAGTCATGAAGTCAAACCGTAGCTTTGACCTCTGCGTTTCAACGTACTGGGTTGAACACACACACACACACCCACTCCCACAACCAATTCACAACCCTGCCATATGCCCTGGTATCGGCTATTTTTGTTTTTCCTCCTTATCGGTTTACAAATTTATGTTTACAATGATTTTGATCCATGAGTTGAGTGTGCTTCAAGTTGTTGACGCGCCAACGTGGACTGACAAAGCACGCGAAACAGGAGGCCACAACGATGCGCTAGCATTGGACGTCAAAGACACGCTGAGTTGGTTGGGATTGGGGCAGCTAATGGCGGCTTGGTCGGCTTGAGCTGGTATCCATTCCCACAGAACAACTTCTGGAGGTCAAGGCAGTGAGTTACTCAGAAACCGGAACACACCCGGACTGAAGTACTAGCTTTGCCGTCTCCGGCAAAAGGCACCCCATGGACTCAAGTACCATCTGAGGTCTCGGCGTAGCTGTGCCGTCTCCAAAAGGCACCCCATCCAGCCCAGGGGAACCAAGGGTTATTTCACCGATAGGGCCTGCCCAAAGACAGAGTTGTCCCAGAAAGGGATTTGATTCCTTGAAGACAAATAGCTTCCCCCAGAAAAAAATCCTCGGGAAAAAGGGAGAGGAAATGGACAAATGTGGCATTTTCCTCTTTTCCCGAGGATTTGACCAGTTTCAGCTGTGTCACTCCAGCGATAAGTTGGCAACACCCTGTCCAAAAACCAAAAAGGGGAGACTGGTCTACCGAAAACCAATGCATTCCGTGCCGCGCGCGCGGAGAAGACACGCACAAGGCTTGGCATTTGTCCGACCGCGCTTCACGGGGCCAGCTTTTGTCCCACCCCTTCGGGTGTACGGCCGAGTACATGGGCATGCCCGGCAGCCTGAAATTGCTTGAATAGAATTCTCTGAGGGCTTATTTGCTTGAACCATGCACATAATCCCAAGTACTGAAGTAGTGTTTACCTGGTACCAGTAGTGACATGCCAGGGCAATCAACAGCCTCTCGAGGGGAAAAACAAGCATGAACCTGCAACACACCTGAGCTCGGATAAAGCGAGGAATTGCGGTGAGACTGTGGGTCAACTAAAGCCCTGCTAGACAGGGCAAACCTAGTCAGCTTTTGGCTTCAGCGTGACTCACTTTGGGCTGTTCAAGAAAGCTCGGAATTCCAAACCAATGTAGCATGCAGGAAACTTAATGTTGGCTTCACCAGCCAGAAATATTCATGAATCCTCATCCTAGGAGGCTTCATCAGGGGCGAACTCGGCCATGTACCAAATCTCGGTGAGGTCTCCACAACTTTCCCATATGGGTGCATTGATTTTGAGGGTTCCCTGTTATGCCAGTAAGAGGAACCGGCTCAATGTGACGAGACTTCCGTTAATGTTTCAAACCCATACGGTAGCCACAGAAAGATCATAGCCCTTCATGGTCGCCAACAATCAATCATTGGCACTATTCGGTTGTTATAGATTCCTTTCGAACAGCCCAGCTGTGTGAACAGCGCAGGTGAAACCGTCACTGTGTGAGCATTGCCTTAGACGCGCCAGGTGAAGCGACGAGTACCGCACGAAACAACCCAAACTAGGCAGACATAAACAAAACATGCATATACGTAAACATAGTCATATCCACGTACACATACAACAACATGTTACTTCGGGGGTTGGCACAACTGCTTCAACTCGTTTTTGGAGGTTGCCGTTAAAGGCGGCCTGTCATCGAACAGGCCCGGGAAAAGGCCCAGTTGATTTCTTCACCCACCCAGCCACTGCGTTGCTTACATGACCGGGCGTGTCTTCCCTTTAAAAAGGAAACGGCAGGTTCAACTCCTACCATTCCAGACCACCTATTGGACACCCTGCTCTTCTTTGCCACCAATTATAGGTCACCTGAAGAACAGTGACCCTTGCAGGATTAAAACTAACACAGCCTGATCATGGGGAAATTGCGGCTAAAAAAAGCCAACCAAGTCCAATCATGTCAACTTCCCCTGAAGTGATTTGGAAGTGAGGGAGGAGCTTTACACTTGCTCAAGCAAAACCCAGCAAAATTCCAATGCCATCCATCCGAACCGAGTAGGGTCAAGCTGAATAAGCCCTTCAGCTGAAAGACACTTCCTGGGCTCTCCCACAGTTGGGGCCAGCTTTTGCCACTCCTGGCCGCCCGAGCCAGGTGCTATGGATTGATTCCCCAAACACACACATGCAAACACAATATGGATGCATGTATATATACATATATATATTTATACATAATTTATCCACTGACCCTGGGAGGGGAGAGCTACCGTGTATATATAATATACAATAGTATATGTATACGCTGCAAAGAAACGAACGAGCACGTCAATACCTTGCAATTTGCAGGTGATTGCAAAGGAGCAAAGGAGGCTCACACAACTACTTGTAGTACTTTTGGCATCTGCCGTAACCAAAGAAGTCACAGTCCAAATCAGCACACTTACGCGCTGAAAGTGCGGCTGGCTCGATGGCTGGTCATTGGACATGCCACACAAATGTTTGGCTGGTCTTTCTAGTTCAAAGCACTTTTGGCGCACCCGCAACTTATTCATGGAATGCTCTAGGGAAAAAGGCCTTGACTGGTGGCACATGGAGCCTAAGACATACCGAGTAGTCGTGTTGGTAGTCATCTCATGTTGGTCGTAGTTGGTCGTAGTGGCCATTCTTATTGCGGGCGTAGTCAGGAATTGCATCATTTTTGATCGTGGTTTAGGGCACCCGCACGCATTTGGTCCTAATCACAAATCGCTTTGGTCAAGTACGATGTCTGATTTTGATCGTAATCAATCAACCAGGCAACAATTCAGTCAAACTACCAATGAAAAAACCCACCCATGGCAGCTTGCCAACTTCTGAGCAACGCTCTGAGCACCACGGCATGAGTCGGAACATGCCAAAAAGCGGACCAAAGCAAGACATGCATATTTCACAAATTAGGACCGAAACGAGACAAAAGGACAAGAACGAGACATCAATCAGGTCCAAACCGATGCCGAGGATGTCATGCTCAGCCACGATGCAATGTGACAGTGGCACTTCCTGTATCATTGTGTATCTTTCAGACGCGTTTGGTGTTTGAAGCAACGCCACTGTCAAATGCCTGTGCACTGTGGTCATAGCTTCCATGGAAAACATGGGAGGAAACTCGATCTTTCAAAATGGGCCAAGAGGGAAAGCTAGGGCTGAATTGTGAACTAGACCTTGAAGCAAATGAAACCTTTTTCTGGGGCCGAGATTGCATCCCTTGCCTCCATTTTGGGGCAAGGCAAGGGGATTTTCATCCCATTTTCCCAAACAATTTTCAACTCAAGTCGCATTTTAATCCCATTTTACTCCAACCACTGGCCCCTGACATTTTTCAACTTAAGTCGCACCACCCGGCTCTTGTCCACAAGCCAGATGCCAAACGGGGCTGAGGCAAGAATCTGAGCTGGGAAGGCCGTCTCATCAATACAAGTTTCTCTCAACCGCAACCAGCCCAAAACAGGAACCCAGCCAATGGAAAGCATGCAGCTAGTTTGAAGCCTCCAATTTGTAAGGTCCTCCGGCGACTCTCAAGCCTCCCCATGATTCCCTTTGAACGTCACAGAAGGTAAGCTCCCTTTCAATTTGTAAAGCACCCTAGGAGACCAAAAAAAATAATATGAACACCAGGAAACTCACACGGATTTATTTTCAAACCCAGGGGAAACCAACGTGGGTAGGGGCCGTTCTTTGGGGCAGCGACCGCCGCACGTTTCGTTTGGACCGCTTCGGCGTCGCCGGCGTCGCCTTCATGGTGCGCTTGGCGAAGTCCTCGGACACCAGCAGCGACAGCATCCGATGGCCCCATGCTGCCGCCTGCACGAGGGGCGCGCGAGCAGAACGGACGCAGGGCGGAAGGAAGGATCCGGGTTCCAATCCCTTCGAAATCCTCACAAATTTCCAAGAACGGCCTTAACAAAAGTCTTATGTTGCGGCAAAATGTGTTTCTCTTCAAAAGTGAGGATCAACTCAAACCGAAGGCGGAATTTGGGAAACAATGAACTCCTGATCACTTCTTCCTGAATGAGCATTGTCAACGCCAGAAAGGACAGTTCAGCGCATAGCCACTGGCTAGACACACAGGGGCCTATCTAAAAATAGGGGACTTCTGTGACATGAGGTTTTGAAGGGAAACCAACCCTGCAGCAATCCCTGCTTTTCAGACACAAGCAATGCGTGAGCAAATGTTGTGAATCTGCAAGTCGAAGATTCGAAGGCTTCTCAAGAAACGGGCCCGAGCTATCCAACGTGCGGTGGGTTTTGCCCTCGCAGTTGCGGACTCCACGGTACCTTGAAACGAGCAGAATGACGGCACCCCACACCCATACTGGGCACCACGTGGTGTTACTTGAGGCTTGGAGCGGGCTGCAATTTGGCAATGATACCAAGGATGTCTCAGAAGGTGCTGCAGAAATGTGTGGCTACAAGTCATAAACTTGCTCACAAGGAAGACGTTAGCAATGTTGCCAGCATTGGTTGGCGTGTCTCGACCGTGACTTTGGCGCGCAGTTGTGGTGCTCACACCCAGTGCCAGTTGGGATGAAGATGCTGCACCGGGGAAATTGTTTCGCCGGCGGCACTTGCGTAGCTTGATTGATCTTGGGCATTGGTAGCAAGCCATTAAGACGAGCGTTGGGCATGTTGGCAAGTTTGCAATGGTTCTGTCTCGTAGTCGGCCAAGAATGCTCGTGCAGGAATTGCTTACAATTGTGTGCCCGTACGTTTTACGGCTCTACTTACCTATCTATGTGTCTGTGCATATTCAGACATATGCACATTCTGCTTGCAGCTCTTTCCCACCGTTGTACTCCCGGCATTGAACTCTTACTTGACATCGGCTCGCACCTCCTTGCTAGACCAGTTCCTCCCAGCAGACTTCTCTGCTTGCCGCAGCTGGTTGCAGATCACCTAGGTCACGGCTCTGGTGAGAGCCTCCCTATAACCCCTTTGTCATACGTATCAAGTGGGGCTTGGTATCACAAGTGGCAGCCCAAAACGCAGTCTTCCGTTTATTTCGTGGCCGGACATGAATGGCCCTTTTGGCAAGCTTGTTTTACCCCCGGATCGGTCAGCTCGCCGTGGAATAGGCAGAATGCACCAAAGGCTGAAGCGAGCTAGGGCATGATATCTAAGATGCCAGCGAACCAGACACATCCCCCCTGCAAATCAGCATGAGCATCCCAAAGGGCCCAACGGGAGTTTCCTCTAAAGTTGACGATTTCTTGACGTTTCTTGGAACCCATGTTTCTTGGTTCTAAGAAACGACCTGCAGAGCAACCACAAGTTCCTCCCGGCTCCCTTTTGCGCCTTTGAATCTGGAATTCCCATATCGCAAGCATTGGCTTCCCTTCAAAACAGCGTTTGGCTCATAGGAAACCTCACAATGACCCCCCAACACAGGGCTTGTCCCACGTTGGTTTCCTGGCTTCCTTCAGGTTAGCACGGCGGTGAACGTCGACTATGTGACATCTGGAAGCGTCACTTTTTGGGGGCGCAGGACAGTTTTTCCATACCCAGTTGCGAGAAAGGTAGAAACAGAACCGGAAGCCTTTTTGGTTCACCAGCTTTCACCCGCCGAAGAAACCAGGGATTTACAGGCACCCGGGCGGCAGCAGCGTTGTTGCCTGGGCGACAGGGTTCCAACGACAGCAGCAAAGGGACACTCGCTATACATTCCCAAACGGAACCCAAGAGTCAAAGATCAACCCCGCTTACACTGGACTTCCTCCAGGTTCCTGCGACACAGCCAGTTCAGGGTTCCATGTATTCCATTCACTTTCAGCTTCTGCCAAAATGGCTAGAAGTGTTTGCATGGGATAGGTTTGTCTCACAATGCCGGAAGCTCCAAACAAGGCTTCGCTTCTTTTTTTGTGTTTCCCGGTCAAACAAAGCCAGAAAACTGGCATCCCAAACTCACACACCGCATGCAATGAAGCTCCGACATCAAGAATTCAGGCCACCAACTCGAGCAACTCCCAGGCCTCCAAGCGAGAATGGTGATGCAGGTGCGACTGACCAACCCACCAACCAACCAACCAACCAACCCACCAACCCACCAACCAAAGGGACCAGCCTGCAAACAACAAACAGCTAAACAAAATGTGAAGCAAGGGACGCAAAGGAGCTTTGTGCGTGAGGCCGCAGCCGCGCCAGGTCGCTTTCGTGCCTTTGCCCAGAAGGTGATCATTTGGGGGCTGCTCTTTAAAACAACATCCAGAGGTGTCTGCCATTACCTTGCGCTCTCTTATGTTGTTGTGTTCAACAAATACCGGCCCGAGTCTCAGAGTCTCCCAAGATTTTCGATTCTTTCACCACCCAAACGGTCCAAAATCTCCCAAACTCCGCCCGACCGGCCGAGCGACCGTCTGGCCCAGACGCGAGCGAGTCTCTGGGCTGTCGGGCGCATGTCTTGCAGCAGCCGCCGCAGGGAGCTGAGCTCCTCCTCCAGCTTCCGCACCTCTGCCTTGACCTTCCGGGGGAAGGGGGGACGAGGGGGACGAGGGGGACGGGGGAGGGCGTTCACATGGCCAAAGACGTGCAACCCAGAGTGATGGCACGCATTCCAGTGGATTTGAAAATTACAAGGGCCTAAGTCGAAGGGACTTTGAAACTCGATTTGGTTCAATTCACCATCAAACTGATCAGCGATTCCATTGACCCGTAGGGGTTCCCAGCCTTTGAGGACTTTAAGGCTTCCATGGCGAGCCCATTTGCCTGTACATCCTGGGAACCCTAAGGGAACCTAGAGGGAAGCTGACTCAAATCCGGGGGAACACGAAACAAACTTGCTTTGTGTAGAGGAACATATCCAACGTGTTGCTGGGAAAGAGCAGGTGCTGGAGAAAAACATGTGGGCAACTAGGACTGGCAAAAACAATCAGGCAACAAAAATCAGAGTTCCTATTTTGAAGGAGTGGTCCCCATCGAATCTAAGATAACGATGACTTCTTTACAGAACGTAAGAGCCAACAGTCACACAAAGGGGGCGCCCCCCCGGCCCTGATTCTTTTGAATGTGACTGTGTAATGCTTGGCAATACTAAATTTCGAATATGAATGTTAAATTAAGTACCGGGAATCTGAGAGTGAGTCTTGGCAACACTAATTGAAGAATTGGCACTGCTACATTAAGCACTGGGAATCTGAGAGTGAGGCTTTGCAATATTAAATTTAGAATCGGCAATGCTAAATTCAGCATTGGCAAGCAGAAGTCGAACTTAAACCACCAGGTTTGCCGCTGAAGAGACTCCCACTGACTGTTTCCACTGTTCAGGGGGGGTAACATCAAAGCAAACCCAACATTATGAACAAGAGGTATGTATTTCTTCTCCAATGCAAAAGGCTGTCTTCAAGTTGACATCATTTGGACGCACGCAAACCTAGGTGAACTGTGGATGAGCACAAACCCACTTCGCAATCTTGGGATCTGAACCCAGTAACCCAGGAACCCAGGCAGCAAGTTGCGGAAAGTGACGCCCAGTTCGGTGGCGATTCCGCGTTTAGAGGCTGTCATGTTTTGGGATCATTTGGAGCCGCCTTGATTTGGCTTGCAGGGGGTGAAGGCAGAACAAACACTTTGGGAAGCGCCCGGACCTGTCATTGAACCGGGATCACCACCTGGAAGGGCTGATGTGGTCCCCAGCTCGTCTTCCGATGGGAATTTCAGAATCGCTTCGCCTCCAGCGCCACTCGTCTGTTGGGCTAAGAATGATGGGAGCCTCCGAGATTTCAACAAGTCTCGCAACTTCACGTGGGTTGTCTATCTGTCTGTCTATGCATCTATCTTGTCTGACCTTTGCCGAGTGCTGCCCCTGCCACGAAACTCGATGTCGCGAAAAGTGCGCGCGTCCGTGCCATTGGGCCGTGGCTCCCAGACCGCTCTGAGCCCGCTCCGAGCGAGCCACGAGATCGCTCTGACCAGGCATCGCCGTCCGAAGGATCTGAAACCCGCAGAGGGCGGCACTTTTAGGTGATGTCCATTCCCCGGCCACACGCGCACGCGTGCTTGTACAATCAAATCAAGCAACAGGAGACGTGGCGAAGGCCTGTCTTCATCTCTCTTCTACTCACCTCCTCAATCAGGACTATGAAGCCTCCCTGTCCCAAACCGGGCCGAAAAAAACCCGCCTTTTCAGGCACGTCGGGCTCTTCCTCCTTCTGGTTGCCCTGGATTCACTGGCAGTATGGGAGGCTTGGACATGCAGTTGAGCCCCCCTATTGGCAAAATAAACGCACATCTTCCATGAACCGCAATTCGCATCAGGGGGGAGGGGTTACGGCTTACAGAAGCGAAAGCCAAACCATTTCGCCCGCCTGACCAGAATACAAGAGAACGCACTTGCCATGTTGCCCTGGCTAAATGAAACACACGGGAAACGATAGGTCGATTAGCTTGGGCAATTCTGCCAGGCTTGAGGCCAGCCCCAATGAGAACGACCCTTGCCTCCAAACCTGCACCATCCGGCCCCGAAGATTTGGGGTTTCCCTCGTGGTTTCCGTTTCAACCAAGCTGAAAAGGGCCACCGTCAACCAAACAAAACACACCGAAAACACACATCTGGCACATTCCGCGAGATGAAGCCCTAGTCACTTCGATTCTGGGCCTCTCCTTGAAAGACGCCCTCCCACCAACCGTGTTGATTGCGGTTTTCGTATTGCTTGTGATGTTAAGGGTCCCCAGATTCAAGTCAGCCACACATAGGTGCAACTTCATAAATGTCACTTGGATAGGTTCCGCGTTGTGTCAACCTACGTGCCTCTTTGGAGATAGCTTCAAACGTGCGTGATACGGGAGCGGGAAGGGTCACTGGCTCTCTTCCTAGGGGCCGCTTCTTTGGATTGCAAAGGGCTGGGAGGAAACTGACCTTTCAGCCCCATTTTGTCCCAATCGTCACCACCTGACGTGGTTGCAAAGCAAATTGCGAACAAGTGAAGAGTACAAGGACGGGGGCCGGTAGTCGAGGATCTGGCGCAAAAGATCAAAAGAGAATGCAAGTGCAGATCGATGCAAAAGCAGAAGTCAAGTGATCGTATATACGATAGCTCAAACCGCGGTAAACCAATACGGCTGATAACCACTTGAGAAGTACAAAGTGTCCAGAATGTTGTCACTCAATCAAGATCAATACCGACTTCAATGATGTACATACTCAAGTAAAAGGCTGACGCCCAAATGAAGATGTGCCGCAAATCAAGTGATATGGCAGCGAAGCACACAAGCACACTTTTATCTTGAGACATATGCACTGAAAGCAAATTTCCGTTCACTGACCGTGAAAGAAAAGAAAACTTTACATGAAGAGACAAGGACATTCCCAAGGATACTCAAGTTCAATGGTGGCATTCCTCAAAAAGGATCTAGCTTCGTCTGGCCTCATCTTTGACCCCTAAGCACATAAATGGCTTGCCACTAGCTGCTATAGGGAACGACTCACTTCCGAAAAGTCAACGGCTATTTCAGTGGAGCCCAAGAGCAAGGACTATTCTAGAACAAGTACCTCGCATATTAGTAGGTCTTGATTGAACGTGCGACCACTGCATGTTATGCCACAATCCCACAGGGATTGTCATCCTGTTTGAATCTCATGGAATGTTCACGAGGGATTGCGAAAGTTTCCGTTAACTCAGTCAATCAGATGCAGAGCTTACTTGATGTCGCTCTGAAGCATCAACACTCCTTTTTCAAAGTGATCGATATCACTTTGATGGTTACCATGTGTCCAGGGTGTGTGCTCCACTTGAAAGGACCCCCAACGGGCTTGCACTTCTACTAGCCTGATTTTGCTCCCGAAAGCGAGCCAAATATCGCCAAGCAAGTGACATGGGAGTAATCTGTCGTTCCTTTCGTCTTTTTGGTGTACCCAACATTGTCCCTTTAGTACAGAACACGCAACTCACTCACTAGACTGTTGCTTTCTTTCGGGAGCTCACGAAAGCGATGCAAAGCGATGAGCTTTAGCTTTGCTCTGTCTGGAGCAAGGGCCAACGAGTGGCCAACCAAGACCTGCCAAATTTCAAATGGTCTTTGCAACAAACTTGATCTCACCAACAAGTCTAACATCCACTTGCTGAAGTCCCCGCCGGAAAATGAGAGAAATAGATTCCTTCCAAAATCCAGCAGGGGAAAACAACAACTATTCATTTCAGCAAATGCAAGATAAAGTCCAGGAACTGAGGTGAGTTCCGAAGTTCCGACTCGGCAAGCCTTGCGTTCAGAGGCAAAGGAGCTGGTGGTACTGGCACCTCTCGCGATTGAATCGAGCGAGAGCTCCTGGGCTTTGGGATGGGTTGCATTGATTGCTTCGCCTTCTGGCTTGCTTGCTTGCCAACTTTTGCTGAGTTTGTGCGTGTTCTTGCTTCAAAAGCAAACACTTTGTTTGACCTTCACATGATTCAAATTTCAGCCACGTTTCAACAGCAAACTCCTGCAACCACGTTGGTTTCTTGCTTAGAAGGTCTTCGGCAAAGGAGTGAACGAGCTACGATGATTTGAGCGAAGGGTCAGGATGTGATATGTTGCTGACTGACCCAAAGGACGTCGAGCTGGAACAAGATCATTCACCCAACATGGCACCCGGACACACATTGCCTTTGGCGCCATGCACATGCGGTGCTCCAAGCCGAAAATTCCTCCATGACATGCGCTGAGTTTGCATTCCCACGTGAACCAAAATCGGACACTTACGGGCACCGCAAGCTTTTTTTCCCCTTTTGGCATGGTGCTGTGGGAACACGCTTCAAAGAATCCCTACTTGTGCCCAGCTCGGGGCATGCCGACCTTTTCGGAACCGCAAGTCAGGTCCCCTGCAGAGCCGCAGCTTTGTGCCAGCAAGAGGGGAGGGAAGCCAAGTATCACAAGGGTCACATCGACTGCTTCAGCTGAGCACTGTGTCAGTCCGATTTTTTTTCACCGGAGAAAGCTCAATCGGTGGGAGCGATGCGCGGAGAGTACAAAGTGCAGGGACCTATATCAGCAGGAGCTGATGACTCGTGCTTAGTATGAACTTGTTGGTAAACATCAATACTTGCCATGATTTATCTCCATCCCACGGCTACCTTCCACAAATCCACATGTCCTCAGCAATCTTCACCTTGGGGTATATGACCCCAAGTTGTATAGTGGGGCAGGCATTTCTCTCTTCCAGGCAGACCTCCCATAAACGGCAGATGGTTGTGGATCACTGTTCCAAAGCAAATCCCCCCTTTGTCCCGCCTCCCGCTGATTTGCGGCCTGTTGTCGGAAACTCCCTGAGCCGCAAATCGGACGGGAACGAACTAAGCTCCCCCTCCGACCGTTGGATGCGAGAGCCCCACACGGCTTTGTGTTGGGGGTACCTTTGCAAGCCAAGAGGACGCGTGCCTAAACTAGGCACATATGGTGCTTCAATCTGTGAAGTGTCAAATGGTGTCGTGGCCAAGGAAATTCACCGCCTTGTTTTGAGATTCAAAAGGAAAGTCAAAGAGGAAACTTTCTCTGGGCCGGTCTGGGAACCAACCGCATATATATATATATATGCCCCAGACAGAAACATCGTGCTTCCCCAAGAAGAATGGCTTTTCACCCTGTTTGCTTGGGGAATTTGTGTTGTCCCTCATGTCCTCCCAAAACAGAAAGCGAGCAGTAAGTGTGTCATCTTCTCACGTGTTGTTGTATTTATCTTGTTTTCACGAAATACACTTGTGTGTGTAGTCTTGCTCATTCCGAGCCGTACACGCAACCACCCTTATGCTAAGACAAGCAGCTCCGGCAGAGGCTTCTCCTCTTCCGCCTGCGCTAAGGATTGTGCAGCATCTTTTGTTCGTACAAAGGTGGAAAAGTACAGGTTGTGTTTTACGCACACAAAAGCATGCCCAGTTGCTTGAGGTGGCACATGCCTCCTCCGTTTGACTAAGGTGGCACACCAAAATCTGCCAATCTGAAACTAAGGGGGGCGTCAATCATGGGCCCTAGTGGCTGCAGGAAAGGATCCTGCCATGCCCGGTCTCGTGGTATTTCCCGGTTTCCTCTTGAGATTTGTGTGGCTTCCCTCTGAAACGAAAGCGCCAGTGGCAATAGGAAAGCAAGGGTGCCTGTTTGGGAGGGATGAATTTTTGAACACCTCTCTCCCACAAAACATGCGAAACGGGGCACTGGATGTCTGTGGGCGCCACCAACTGACTTGCACCTCCGGAAACACACCGTGAAGGCGCTAGGATGCGCCCTAAGGCAAGGACTTCTCTATTCAATTTGCCTGGAAAGCAAGTCACTACGGCCAAGACGGTGGATTCATTTTGGGGGTCCCAGGTTCAAACAGGCCTGAAGGCAAACGCTGAAGTCTTCTCTTACCTCTCAACAGGACACTTCCATTTGGTTAGGACGCCTGGAAAAATTAAGAAACCATTTCCAGTGGTGATATATTCCCTTTAAAACCAACAGGGGAAAACACATATCCTTAAGCAAATGGAAGGAGATGGACGCCTCCATGGACCTAGGGCGAGCCTGGCCTTTTCACTTTGAACCCCGTGGGGAGACGCCAGCAACGTTCGAAGATGTCAGTAGCTTGCCTTTAAACGCAGGTTCACCACTATGGTCAACCAACAGGGTCTGTCAGCCAGTTATAACTAATTGAAACCAAGTGACCTGACGTGGGATGAATAGCCAAGACAGAGAATTCGCAAAGTCTACAAACTGCCGCCTGCGTGTTACAACCTACTTTCCTGTGCGTGAATTGAACATCAAGTTGCACGCGTTTCGTCCAAATTTTGTCGGACCACGCGTACCCCATGGGCCGGGCCTGGGGCATGTGTCTCATCTCCTCAAACGCACGAATCGCGGATCAGGAATCCAATCATCCCGCAGACGCGTTGGGATCGCCCGAAGACCCGTCACGGGTAACAGGGTTGAAAAGAAACATTGACTTAGGGGGCAGGGCTGGGGATTCCTATCTCTACGGTCTTTTTTTTCTTCTCTGAACTTGGTAAGGCAGCAAGTTTGTTCTTAGCTTGAACCGAACTTCGGTTCCCAACCTTTCGACACCCCCATTGGCACCTGGGTGATGTGTTGGAGCACGTTGACTATACTGATTTGCTTCCTGACGATGTCAGAGACTTGTTCTTTGCCTCCCTCGCCCCCCAAAAAACAATCAGGAACCAAACCAGCGAAGCTAAACCAGCATACCAAAGGGGAACCTTCCGTCGACCTTTACCCCAAAACCCGGAGCAAACCAAGGGTCGCGAATCGAAGGCCGGCCGAATCCGCCGATTTTGGGCAGCCGAGGGTCCAAGGTCCGCGTGAAGAGATTCTCAAAGCGCTCCGCCTTGGTCTTGCTGATCATCGCCTGGACCTTTTGCAAAAAGCGCTCAACTACGGGTCCGAGATGCCGAGTGGCTCGCCACCCTGGAAACACGGGCTGGCTGGTTATCGTCATATACCCAAAATCCAGAGGTCGTCATACGGTCACTAAATGTGGCTCAATGGTGTTGACAGGTAGAAACAAAAAAAGAAACACCGACAAACATGGCCTGGGGCACGGCAACCCTCCCTTTCCAAAAGGAATTGAACTTCGTCTTCCAAAAGGGCCTGTGCGCCAAGCCCCAGGCAACTGAATAGAACCAACCACAAGGGTGATTCCTTCTCTCGGAAAACGACCAACTTTCCAAAAACCGGGATCTCTGAAGAGGGCGAAACATGCGGCTGGAGCTCCTCGAACCAGTGAAGACTTTCGCAAGTATGAGCGCTGCGATTCGGACACTCTCAAACCCCCAACTCGTTTGTTGCTTTAAGAGCCCCGGACGCGAGCCTCTTCAGGAAGACAGGGCTAGGACATTGGTAAGCGGTTGATTTCCCTCTTCCATGGACTAAGGAGGTTCCTTCAGTTTTTCTTTGGATTCCCTTTCGGGTTTTGTTTCTACCTGTGCCATTCACATTCGGTCGACTCGTGGAGCAGAAGGCCTCGTCGTGGACGGGCCGCAGCGCCAGACGCCGCAAGGTCAGCAACTTTTGATCCGTGTCCTCGAAAAGGCGTGGCGTGTACGCTGCAAGAACATGAGCCACTTGCTCAAAACCGATTCGGCACTATGGTGAACCCAGAACCATTGCTTCAAGAATTCAGAAGGCGGATCTCCGCAGCAATTTCTGGCCGGGATTGGCCCTTACTTCCCTTCATCTCCCCGGGCTTTGGTTGCACGTGGCTCACATGTCTTTGGCCCCAATGGGTTTGTGCAACTCCCTGGGCTCTTTCTCTTGCCCGGAGTGGGGTGCAAGAAATCGCGAAAACACATCCAACCCCTTGCTGCTAGTTTCCAAGCAAAAGGAGGCGGCTGAAGCAGTGGTTTGTACGGTGAACGGGAGAAGACAGGGGTTTTCGCCATGGATATTTCAATACAGGGACTGACTTTGTGAGAGGATGGGCAAACAACAAGTTCACACTTTCTGTTTATCACCAAAATGGTCCAATCCTAAAAGTGACTAAGGATTGGACATTGGGGAGTGAGGGGATGCCCCCCCCCACCCCCAAGCAGTTTCTTCCGATGCCTCGATTCGGATCTCCACGTAACAACAGTTCAGCAAGACCTGCGGCCGACGGACACTTTTTTGTGAGCCGAAGGGAGGTGGAAACTCGGACCGTCTGACGTGCGAACACCAAAAAAGAATAGACACGCACTTAAACACCAGCCAGGGGTTGTCATTTACCCAAAATGGCTCGAATGGACCACCCTTGGAGGATGCGGGCAGGCGATTCGATTTGTTGGGCCTTTGATTTGCGCTTCTACTCTCTTAACTGTCAAGAGTTGCCTCTACGCGAGAGGAATCCAACCATGGCTGTGGAAAAGCAACCATTCAGTGATACTGTGGATGGACAAAATCCTGCACCACCTAAGAAACCATGGCAAACCATTGCTTGTTGGTGTTTACAGAGGGATCGTCATTCCAGGAATTCTTAGGTGGTGCAGGATTTCAACGTCCATCCACGGTATCAAGGTATTCTCCAGGTTTGACAGGGAAGCATTCCCAACCCTCCCTCATTTGCCAGAGAAATCGGTTCAAACGCCCTTTTTAGCATGCTAAAACGTTCGGCTTGCCTGACTCGATCCCTCTCTCGAGCCACAATCAAAGCCCATTAAACACCCGGCTTTGAGTGTGGCTCATTTAAGGTTCGTTAGACACCCCTGACGGTCTTCTAAGTGAATGAACGAGCGCAACTTTGTATTGCGCACGGGTGTCTGTGTTTTCTAGGTTTTTGGGATACATGGGGCATCCTGACCTTTGCACAATGGTAGAAAGAAACAGGGGCACCCTTTGTTTGGTTGATTTCGGAAGAAACCCCGGTTCCTGAAAACAAGAACAACTGGCTGGGAAAGGAGCACCTCGGCTAAGACAAGAGCAAAGCCGGAAAACAAAGGCAAAGGCGGCAAGGACTCACACTGGCATCAGTGCAATCCTGACCACTCGACTTGAATGCTTTCCCATCAAGGCGGGCGCTCCTGTTTTCTTGGCCATGCAAATGGAGCACAGGGAGAGCAAAGTCCAGCGTGGGAACTGGGTGTGAAGCAGAGGCGGCCAAGAGTCCTTCGACCTCGAGCGGATCTTGAGTGCGCTGTGGTTATGCACAAGGATTCGGGCGTGTCTCATCTTCCAAAGGGCTGGGAACCGAACCCAGGCCGCGCACTTCCAATTCTAAAGCTGATTCCCAGGGGCGGAATCAGGTCCATCAACAACTCCCAGCGACGGGAAGAACTCTGGTCAGACCTGGTTTACACCTGGTGCTGCAATATTTGGCTCCAGCGTATCTACGACCAGTTTGACTTCCTTTTTACTTTATTTTGGCAGCCAGGTCAGCCGCACGTGGTAGACTAATGCTTCATATTGTTCTAGAGCTCAGCTACGTGGAGGAACCAACCTTCAATTTTGGACACGCACCTCACGATCCCGTAAATATAGACATGTTTGTTGGTTTCCTTTCGGTTTCCTAACAAAAACCGACATATTGATAGCTCAGCCAGAAGTGCCAGCGCATCCGCTTCTCGAAGTTGAATGAATGTGGCGTGGCCCGGCGGTTACTCCCAAGGCTTGACAGCGGACCGCACCCTTTTTTGGAGGTCCAAGGGGAAACCTGCCCAAACAAAGGTTGAACAAGGGAAGCGACCCCCCTGGGTTCATAGAGCCCATTCCAACTCATTTCTCCCCCGCGCAAACCCCGGCTCTTTCGGCCTCCCGCATCCACGGCTCCAGCGGGAGCTGGGCGGACTCGAGGCCTCGGGTGATCGGGCTGGGTTTGGTGTGGCTTCTCATTGCCCTCCCCCGAACCACCGAAGGAGCTCAGGTGGGCCTCCCATGTTGGCGGCATTTTTTTTGACTCCTTTGGGCCCTAGTCGGCTGCTTGACTGCTTTCAACCCCGCTCATGCTGGTGAAAGGTTTCCCAATCATGTTGGTCCTAGTCTTCGCTCATGTTGGTTGTAGTTACACAACTGACGCGACTCGCAAATTAGGGCCAAACGACACCGCACCCGCTACATACTTGCACATGATTGTCTTACAACCATCTATGATCATGACTCATTTTGGCTTCAAGATACCCCACAAACCCATTCTAACTATTTTAGCAGCTTAAGTTCTTTTTTTTTGGGGGGGGGGGGGTAAAAGGCAACTTCTCATTTTGAGACACAGCCCTCCACACCAAACCCTCTCCCAAACCGGCCCTTGACAAGGCCCAGCTGGTGGAAGGGGGTTCTCAGGTTCCGCCAGCCCGCATGTATATGATTTGGAGGGAGGAGTCAGCAGGCCCGAAAGCTGAAGACATAAGTGCCGGGATGTACCCCAAACCACAAAAAGGCTAAACCAACACAGACGAAAAACTACAAAAAGAAGGAGCTGCCAGAAAGAAACACCCACAGACAACGGAACACCAGGGCCGAGGAGACAGATGCTGGAAGTAGCTACCCTCTTTGGGGGGTTAGTTGGTGTTTCCTTTTTTTGGGAGGGTTTTGGGATCCTCTGCCAGCGTCTGCCCCCCACCTACGTCTTCTCCTCATTTGCCTTCAAACTATAGAAGCCCAGGACACATGCAAGCTCAGTTCTATGGGGTTACAAGATTTTAGCTGCGCAACTTTACGATTAAGTAGCTTTAATTAGAATTCGATTCGAATTCTTGTTTCGCATTCGGCTGTAAATAGGTCTTCCTTTCCAGGTAGGAAACTGGTTCGAGCTTTGTTATAAGTGAAATAGAAACGAGTTAGGAGACACAAACTGGCTGTTTGTTTTGAAACATTGATCAGCATTCTATTTTGTTGAGATATAAAATGGGAATTCGTATCTGTGAGAAGGGTCGCAAGTCAAAGCTCAAGAATGCTTGTGAACTTGAGCAGCGAATCTGGCCGCGAATTGCTAAGCAGCGGTGGGTGCAAAATCATCCAACTAGTTACTTGCGTGGCGTGACCTCAACTTGTGGGACGTCAACCCCTCCCCCCGGACGGTTACCAAGACGTTGAGAATAAGCGACTCCGACCCCACACGCGCGTGGGCCAGACTATCGAAATGCGCAGGCGGGGCCTGCACGGTGGTCACTCGACGCCAGCCTTCGCGCTCTGCTGAAGCGCCGGGCGCCGGCCTCCAGCATGCGCTTCGCCACGCACTCGTCCGCGGTTGCCTTTGCCAAGCGCTTCCGGGCCTGGCAAGCGGTCGTGCGCCGCCACGTGTATGGCGCCGACGACAGCCTCGCGGTGCGGCTCCAGTGCTGCGGGCACGACTCGCAGGCGTCCCGCCTGGGCCGTTACCCGAGGACCGCGTCTTGTTGCTCAGTCTCGGGCCCGCAGCCCCAGCACCTCTGTTGGGGCTGTCTTGCGCATTTCGTCCTCGTGCAGGCCCAGTCGGCTGCGCCGGTCTTGCTTGCAACCTTGGCCGACGGGACACTTAGCCGCGCGATTGCGCGGGTGGGCTCCGCGCTTTGTGCGGTCGGCCTCCTTTCTCTTCTTTCCCTGCGCCTTTGCCCATGCTGCTTTTTGGCCAGACGCGTGGCGGGCACGTCCACGGACGTGCTGCTGCTGCTCTGGCTTGAGCTGGAGCTGTCATCTTCGCGTGCCTGCACGAGCTTGGCTGGAGGACGCGTTGGTGCCTCTACCGCCGCAGGGCATTCGCAGCGCTAGTGGCATTTGTGAAACCCCTACCTTCTACATCGTTACACCTCTTTGCTTGCTCAGACGCTCAATCACGCTCCATCACGCAAGATACAAAGAAAAACAGTCGCATCTAAAAAGATCACGTAAACAATCGTGGAAAAGCGATTAGTAGGGATGGAGCTCCACTCATGCACAGTCGCGCGGAATCTGTGCATTCGCATCGGCGTCGTTGCGCCATGTTTGCCACGAGCTTTTTGCTCCGTGCCCAGGGCGAGCTCGTCATCAAGTCACTAAAATCCGGGCCCTAAACAAAAGACGGCTCCGTTCGGCTCTGGACACAGTCGCCTTTCAGAGAAGGTTGTCCAAAACATATTTTGGGTTTGGGGCAATTGTCCCGAATCTTGTCATTTTGTCCCGCAGGCTCGAAAGTTTCCCCCGGGACTTCGTGCGTTCGACTCATCAGGGTACACTTTGCTGCGGCGCCTTGGCCGGCGATCACCTTGAAGTCTGTGCTAGATCTGGAGTCCAGATCCGCCAAAAACGTCACCGATGCGACCAGCGTACACGGCGCCGTAGCCGTGAATGGGGCCCTTGAGCCCAGGTCATCCATAAAGGTGGCCACGGTTGGGCCGGTTGGGGTTGAACCTCCCCAGCTTGAGGGGCTCTTGAGTCCATTAGGCCACTATAAAGATTCTGCAGTGGCCAGGGCTTGCGCAGGTTGCCAGCTGTGGAGGCTGTAAAGCTACAGGGTACCAGCTGAAAGGAGTTTCGCCGAACCCTGTTCTACGGCACTTGCCCCAAGGCGCTTTTTGAAGGAACGTGTTTTGTCATGGACGGCTGGAAATCCGACAAGAGATCCATAGATGAAACCTTTTCAGAGGGGACGCGCACCCTAGAACTCCTATTTTGGTTTGCTTCTCTCGTGTCACTTCCCAGGAATTGCCCCATCATTTGTATCTTGTGATAACTTACAAAGGGAGAAAGGACACACCTGCGAAATCACGGTCAAGGCTTGTCACAGGATGCCAGCGAAAGGCGATTCGACGCCGTCTCCATCTGCGTTTTGTGCATTTTTACAATGCGCGCATGCTAAGCAACCACGTTGCTTGCCACTCAAGAAACAATCTAGCCATCCGCTCGATGCAAAGGAAACCGTCGCTGCAATGTCGGCGGACTGAGCCGGAGGCTCTAAAGTTTCATTAGAATTCTTATTTTGAATTAGAAGTCAGAGAGGAATTATTTTCCAAGAAAGCTTTTTTTAGAATCTAGCTAGAGTTTAAATCGAATCTAATAAGGCAAGACTCGCTGGTGGCTGCCCCTGAAAGAGAATGAACATCCAGTAGAAATCAAGGGAACATGCAATTTCAGTTTTACTGGTTTACAGCTTTTGGATTGCAAAGCTTAAATTTGTTTTCAATTGGGCATGTTGTGTTACTGTTGCTTTAAACTAGGATTTCCTTTCCAAGTCGGAAGATCGATTTCACAGCCGATACATCTCAAGCAAACTGCGAGCGATTTTGGCATATTGGTCAAGGCTTCAAGTTTGAGAGGCACAATTCGATGTCCAATAGATAGAATTGGCACCAACGGTGCGTTAACGGCATCTCGAACTACTCTTGGGGGATAGATTGGCACCAACGATGGATGCACTTTATCTTGAATTAGACTTCAAATTGCAGTAGGAATTCCTTTCCAAGCTGTGTCTTTTCCAAGTATCATTCCTTCTAGAACTCAATTGGACATCTTATTTCAAAATAGTCTTTAAATAGGAATTTGTTTTGAAGGAGGATTCCAAATGGAATAGCAATTGTAATTCAAACGAAGCTTAGTGAGGCACAACACGCTGGTTGCTTCTTCTGACTAATCTAATTAGAACGCGTAGCATTCTACTTTAGATGTGACTTCTTTTCAGGCCTTTCCTCAGGAAATAAGTTGACCACTATGTCAACCGCCTCTCAATATATATATATATATAATGTATATATATATATATATTGTGGGTGTGACTTTTTCGAGGGTACCATGTGTTGGTGGTTTTAAAGGGACACCCCCACGAAAACCGCCAGTTTGGGGGTCCCCCTTCAGCCAAAAAAACCGGTTGACCCCCGGTCTTCCCTCGAGATCTGTGGCTCCGGCGAAGGAGGATGCGCTGTGCGCCGTTTCGGATCATCACACCTCCGATTCGGTTTTCGGATCGCAGGCACAAGGCAGAGGTGGACCATTTTTTACGCGTTTGCAGTTGACCCATTCCTCGTCTCACTTCCTGAATGGCGGGGTTCCACAAGTCCAGGAACTTGCTATCCACTAAAGTCTGCCTTCCTAAAAGGTATCCAGCCCAGGAACTCAAGAAACCAATCAGACAAACCACAGTAGACAAACCACCGGAACCCGAATCGAAGAGCGGGGACCTTCATGGGAGGAACCATGGGCCATTGCAGCAGCGTATATCCCTGGCGAGCAAGTCAGCGTCCTTTGAACAAGTGTGTGCTATGGGCTTAAAACGTACATATGACCTTATACGAACATCTAAGGCCAAAGAAAGCTCAATGGTTGGGAGACATCTTGGAAGGTTGAGTGTTGTAAGGGCTACTCGGCGCAAGGAAGCAACGCCGTCCCGGATTTGCATGGATCGTTTGACACCCTGCCACTCACGGACAACCTGCTCCTATCTCCGTGTACCAGTCGACTGGTGCATCCCTCTTAGGCGCTCCCCTCGACCAGTGAGCCATTCCTCACATCTCTCACTTGCATGGCCCGAACTCAAAGTCCGCTTACAGGTGCAAGTGTGTACCTATTGAGGGAAGAAGTTGTCCCACTTTCCACGTGTGTGACTTACCCAGCGGGATTACCCCCACTACGAAATTGTTTCTTTGCTGGTTGATTCTATATGAAGCTTTGATGGACGCAACCAACAACAGCCCCCCACAACCCCCCCACCACCCCCCCACAACTCCCCCACCACCCGCCCACAACCCCCCACAACCCCCCCCCACAACCCAAACCAAGATTCAAGCCACTCAGCAAAGTCGACCGTTTCTGGGGCACCCCGCGCACACAATGCCGAAGCCGGCGGCCGTCCTGGTCAAAAAAACCCAAAAAGGGCAAAGGGCCACCTGGGCCTGTCTTTTATGAGGGTGCCTTTCTTAGGGTGCTTTAACAGGCCACCAAACGGACACCACCCAATTTTGGAGGGTTCCATAAACCAGGTTAGATATTGTTCAGGGTATTTGACCCAAGGCTTGCTCTTGTTCATCAGCTCAAAGACGTGCTGTACCGATGTGCTTCTGTCAGCTCCAAATCAAATCCAAAAGGGCATCCCATGAAAGTAAACTTTGGTGTTGTCGCCACCTCGACCCAAAAACCGTGCGTCTGTCGCTCCGTCTCCGAGGCTTGCCTTGGATTGATCAACAGGGTGAGAAGAGCCAGTACAAACCCAGAGTGCCACGATTCAAAAACACCTGGCACAAACACAAACATACGGACAAACACGCTCACACAGAAACACCAATACACACACACAGACACAGAGACAATCACACAGATACGCAAACACACAGACACAGACATATTTCCTAAGTGGGAAACACATTTCTTGCTCTTGCTATTTTCCGGGCTGGAACCATCCCCACCGCACACCTTCCTTGGGAGGGTGCATCATACCTCATTTGCGTGCGCCCTTTTCACAAAACAAACATGGGAGCCACTGAACAAATAGGAAGCATGCCCTAGAAACCAGCTGTCGGCATCTCACTTGCCCAAAGCAAAGCAGCATCCAAAAAGTGGTTCAACCCACGCTGATTACCAATCCCACCCGTGACCTCCGAACAAGTGAGCCTCCCAAACATAGCTGGCTTCCTTTTAATCCCCCTGTAACCACAACCCTCCAACAAAAAAAGGACTCTGAGAACTCCAGGATCCAACTTTTCTGGGCTGCCCGTTTTCAGATCCCCTGCTAAAAGTGGACAACTTTTAGTGGCTTAAATGGAAATCCAAGCACTAAACCAACCAAAAGCCTGAAAAGGCTAAGGAACCGCACGGCTGGGGGCCACCAAGCTTTTTCCAGGCGAACTCCGGTCGCAACCCGTGCCGTGACTCGCCTGGACCTTGCCCAGGGTCTCGCTGAGCTTCTCCAGGCGAAGGCGCCGGTACTCGCGCAGCAGGACCTGGGTCGACGGGTCCCAACGCAGAAATGGCGGCACGTCTCGTGCTCTGTGGGTGGTCGCCGCCCCCCGCACCAGTCGAGAAAAATGATTACACCCCATGGGTCTGTGCGTGTGTCTTTAAGTTTCAAGCAACATTTGCTTTTGAAAACTGGGGGTGGTAGGGTTGGTGGGGGTGGGTGGATGAGTTTGATCCATAATACAAAGGCGACCCTGTGGATGGTCGCGAAATCCGCTTTTGGCAGCGTTCAGAAACCCAACGGAAGGATTCGATTCCCCAACATAATTACCAACAAACAAAGGTTGCAACCAGAGCTTCAAACGTGGTGCGAAATGGTTTTCATCCATCCACAAGGGATTTTGCTAAAACTTGGCCCCACCCAACAAACAGTCAAAAGAATGACCCATTGAAGTTCAGTCCGTTTCTTCCCCTTCAAGACCCACAGGGAAAAGTGGGGTCATACATACGGGGATTCCTCGGAGCAAGCTCCGCCGGATTCATCCAAAGACTCATGGGGCCCCAGTTGAAATCCTGCACCGCCCAAGACACCATGGTTGAAAGCATTGTTTGTTGGTATTGACAGGGGAGCCATCATAGGGGTTCTGAACGGTGGGCAAAATGGATTTCGTCCATCTCCACACCGGGAGCTGGGGTGCAAGAGCCCGCAAGAGGGATCGCTCGCCCCAAAAAAACACCTTTCTGGTTCAAAGGGAAACCTATTCTTGGTTGACGTTGGAAGGAGCAAACATTTAAATCGCAGCTAAGTGGATTTGGATTTCAAGCACTAAACCACAAATTAGCAAAAATGCAAAATGGTGTCCAACAACAACCAATGAATTTCCGTGGGGTCTGCTTTTGACCAAACCTTTCGGGGCTTTGGGAGCTCAAAGGAAAACCACAACTCTGAGGGTCCCGGGACCCGCCATTTTTCGCCAACTAAAAGATCATGAGCACTATGAGGAATGTGTCACCTTAACAACTGAAAAACTTGTTTCCGTTGGTTTCCCTTGACTGAAACCAGCCTTAAGCAGGTGGCACCTCCCTCAACTAGGTCCTCCCGTAGAGAGGTTAGAATAAAGATACCATCTTTCTGTAGTCTATTTTCGGGGCACCGAATCTCCGCCCAAAAAACCAACGGTGAGAAAGGTTGCACCAATTGCTGGGGGACCTAGAAATGATCCGCCCTCACCCAACCAAAGGGAGTCCCCCAACCCACTGTCAGTGGTACTTTACTTCGCCGGCCTTGTAGTCCCGGAGCTCGATCAACTCGCTCTGCAGGCGACGGTGCACCTGGCAAGCAAGCAAGCAAGCAAGCGCAAGCGCTTGCCATTGCCGGTTCCCCACGAAGGGAACCCAACGGGGGCCTCGGGTTTCATCTTGGTTGACGTTGGGTTTGGGGAGCAAAATTTCAATTTTTAGCAGTTAAGCGGATTTGGATTTCAAGCACTAAACCACCATAAGCAAAATGTAAATTGTTTCCTAACAACAACCATGTCATGTCAAGAACTTGCAGGGCTTTGCGTTTACGGCTTTAGAGTGCTGGGGTCTCAGGTTTATCTGGGGAGCATCTTCCCAAAGTGACTCCCTCAGTAGGTTGTATTGAAGGGAAACAAATCTCAGCTGAGTTTCTTTATCGAACCCCAGCGACCCCTGCTGAGCACCTTCCATTTGGTCAAGACCCCTCGGAAAAAATAAGAAATACTTTGTAGTGAAATCGTTTCCCTTCAAAACCAACAGGGGAACATAAAATATATTCATTTCAGCAACTAGAAGCAGGGGTTGGGGGATAAGCCGCGCCAAGCCAAGAAGAGAAGTCTGGGTGGTAGAGTCCATTTGCTTAAAACATACTAATTTCAGCAATTTCCAGTAGTGATAAATTCATTACAAAACCAACAGGGGAACAAAAACAACACATTTCAGCCAATTGGACGCCAGCTGAACACGTAAGCCTCGGTTCGTTCGGCTCGCTCACGCCTTGGCAAAGAGGGCTTGGACCTCGTCCCGCTGCTTCTGGTACTCCTCCTCCTTCTTGTCCTGCACGAAAGGACTGGTTTGGCGTCCTTTTTTCGCTCCCTCCCAGAAAAACAGCCACCTTCAAAATAGAAACACACCTTATATATATATATATATGCGTTGGGCTTTTCTTCGACACTCCCTCCAGAAAAAAACAACCATCTTCAAAATAGAAACACACGGGGCAGGGGGGGGGGGGTTGGCGGGGGGGGAGGGGGGTTCCACGGCCTGGAAAATATATATATATATGCGGGATGACTTTTGAGAGGGATCCTCCTTCCAGCGTTCATAGAAGAAAAGCCAAATTTGGGGTCGGTGGTCAAACTGCTTTGACCCTCTTTTCCTTTAGGGTTCCGTGGCGTGTTTTGGTTGGACCCTCTGGCGGACATCTGGAATGGGGCTTATTTGAATTCCCACTCCATATGGCTCTTTTAAACATCTTTTCCAAAGGGGTGCTTCATCAACATGGGGAACCAAGAGGTGAAGGGAAACACGGAGTGTTGCAAGAACAAAGTACGCATTAAACGAGAGTTGCCCTAGCTGAGTTGTTCTTTGGTCCCTGCAAAAGACTCATTTGGCAAACAGTGAAGAGGTTCTTTCGGTCCACCAAAAAGCAATGACGAATATGGCTTGTTGAGACCCCAAAGAGCTTTTTACGGGTAAGCAGAAGAGCCTTGGATAATCCAGGAAGGCCAACAGAGCCCGAGCCAGCGGTCATTGACCGCTTCATGGTCATCTGCTTTGAAGAAAGCGGCGGATACCCAAAAGAGCCCCTCATCTTCTGACAACTGACATGCATCTGGGCAAACAATCTTGTTGGGGCAGCCATTTGACCTGTGGGCAACTCTGAAAGAGAGCCACCAAACAAGTCCCAAAACCGCAGGCGTGGCTCCTTTGATGGAATCCATCTAATAGATGTCTAAATTCACCCCACCAACCCCCAATTAAAAAGGTGTTGTGCTTCAGGAAGAATGATCTTGCGTGCGAGGATCACCCTGCATTTGATGATAGTCGGAGGTTTGCGCACCCGTATTTGTTGGAAGAACATCCCCCCCCACCTTCCGCGGAACGGTGCATCTTATGCAGGCTTCCAGGAGTCGAAATCCCCTCTCAATTCGATTCTGGGACTGGGCACCGATAGCGCGCTTCAAGCTTCAGGCCTTTTACCAGTGAAGTTGGGTCAGTTCTTGGTGGCTTCATCCCCTGGGTACATTTAGCGTATGCATCCACATCGGATCACTAACTCAGTTCCCGAAGGTGCAACACATCTCAAGCCCAGCAAGGAGAAACCCACTTGAAATTGACTTAGCAACCAGGTGAATGGTTTCGCCGGGCAAATCTCGTCAACCAGGTGATGGGGCTGGAACTCATGCGGCACCAAAGGGTCAAAGGGTTCTGTCAAATCTGATCCGGCGGAGAGCCAAAGCCAAAGTGCACAGTCTGAGCCGCTTTCGGGTCATGGCCCGATGCCACATCCATGGCTTCCCTAGAGGACAACAGCTCTGGAATTTGTAGTCTGTGGGATGGGTTCAGGATTTCTTTTGACAAGCCTTTTGACAAGCGACAGTGACTGTCCCTCGAAGCCAGCAACCTCTTGAAAGTTTTGCTGCATTAACCCCACCAAATTCAGGGAATAGAACTCACTTCCTCAGCGGATCGATCAGAGAAAAGTGAAGGCTTTTTACCTACGCTCAACATATCTGCCCAAATTCTTGAAAGTCCCGAAGAAGTTAGAAATACATTGCTCTGCTTGCCGTTTCCTTCGTGTCTACATTTGGGTGCAGAGAACGGCCTCTGTAAAGAAACTTGACCGAATTGTCTTGGGCTTGAGGCTTTAGGTTTAGGGTCTTGCGTTGAGAAAGACGTTATGTAACAGAAGAACCCAACCCAAACACAAAATCGACTGGGGCACAAACAACATGTCTTGAGATGTGGTTCCACATGATCTAGTTTTCCGTCACATGAAATATTGGTATATGTCAACATAGGGGACCCCAGAATGATGGTGCTCTTGTCGTTTCCCGTGAATCCAACCTGAAAAGGGGACAATCAACAACAAACATAGCCCATGATATATATATATATATATTTATACTTATACATTACATATATCATATACATAGATCACACTTATATATATATATAGACATACACATTTTATGTATACATACAATTTGGAGGAGCCCCGAAAGAGAAGGACCAAATCTCTCACCGCTCCTCTTGGATGCGGCGCTGGGACCGCTCGAAGGCGTTCATCGCCTGATCCAACCGCTTGCCAGGGGGTTGACTTCGCGATCCCTGCGCTCCGTTTGCGTTTAATCGCCCCGCGGAAAATAATATTAACACATATTTCCAACAGTGATAGATTTCCTTTGAAGCCAACAGGGAAGAAATCTTAAGCAAATGGAAGCCATACATGGTTGTGGAAAATAAGATGATATTGCCTTTCTGTGATAATAATACTTTTTGATGACTGTTGTATCACTTCACATGGAATTCAAAGAAGCTGGCCTACAAAACCCAATTGTGCAATCCATGAAGGGTATGACTTTTAAGTGGAGGTTTCAAAGGGGGAGACATCAGACATACTACCATTTCTTTCGTGGCTTTGCCCAAAACATGTTGACTTGTGAAGTCCGATAACTCAAATTGAGAAAGGGACCCCGGGAAAACTCTTCACGAGGACGCCACTTCCAGGGCGAAGACTGTAGTCTGCATCTCCCCCTCCTTACACGTGCGAGAACGCATGAAATGGCAACTCTATGGAACCGCCCCTTGATCCCGAACGGCAAAAGGTTTTGGGCGGTGTCGATGAACTGGACACCAGGGCTGCTTTCTTTTGCCCCAAGTAAAACATGAAATCTTTGTTCTCAGCAGCATGCGAGCGGTTCGCATGGCCGGAGAGGCCAAGATCGCTGCCTGGGTTACCGGCAACATGTGACTGGAATCCACTGTAAGATCTGAAAACTCCCAAAGCATCTTGAGGAGGGCTACGGTTCAACCAACTGAAACTAATAAAACACACACACACACAGCAAGAAACATGGCTTTCAATGGGACCTGCACACCTAAACCATGCGCTTCACCCACCGCAAGCCTGTGGATTTGGAGCACTGCAAGTCTGGCTGATTTTTTTAGCTCGGGACATAAATTTTGGCCAAGGAAACCAAAGGAAACCAAGCCCAAGCCAATTTTCTCATTACCCTTGTTGCCCGGGCAATCAACGGAAACCGTTCACACGTCGAATTTTGAGGAGATGTAAGCTACAGGAAGCCCTGAAAGAAAGGTAGGGGAGAAGTAAAAAACAGAAATAAAGAGCATGCATACGGATGTTGTTAAATATCAGGCTTACCAAGAAGACTAAAGCCAACATAAATTGCATGTCAGTTATTCTTTGATTAGACTATATAACATAAATAATTGACACACATGTCTTAACGTTGAGGTGTTGTCATCTTTTGATTAGACTGTGCGTCCATCAACAAAAAGGGAAACAAAGCTCGATGCGAGCTATCCAAGGTTTGGTGCCTATGGCTGTGTCCTGTTTTGAGGGTACCCCCTTGTTTTTGGTGGTTTTCAATGAACGCCAGAAGGGAAAGCCACCCATTTGTTGGGGGTACCTCACAAATGTCTCCGCATGCGGGCCTGAAGCTCATGGTCCGTGGCGCGGCCCAGGTTCAGAGAGTTCACGTGCTCCAGCCTGGCGAAAAACCGCGAGGTCGCGTGACGTCGGTCTCCGACCGACGTCGGAGGTTTGCGGTGAACGGCGAAGAAACCATCCGGGGCTTCGAACACTTTCTCTGTTTCCACCCACTCCGCATCACCCCGCATTTTCGGATCCCACTCCGCATTTTCCACCCACCCCGATCATAACCCCGAAGCCAAGAAAGAACCAATCAAATCACTGACAAAGTGAACAGAACGCATCTTCTTTTTGAACGCATTTCCTTTTGCGCAGCTTTAGACACATTGATTTGTTTGCCTGTCGGAGCAGAAAGCTGCGAACTCAATATTGTGGGGTTGTTCAACTAATCCTCATTCGTCATAGTGAAGGTGCCTGTAGACACATATTCGCGCAAGCTGAACACGCGATTGTATATTTGTACAGGTCTTGATTTCATGAAATACAAAATAATTACACGCACAAACACAAACACAACCACACAACAACAAGAAACAACAACCATATAATGTACATGCACGCAAAAAACACACACATTCTCCACTAAGATACGTCGGACCGCCTACATCCCAGTTGAGCCCTTCGGGACTGAGCCTTTGGGATGTTTGTCGGGACCCGCAGCTTCTCCCAAAAGGACTCTGGAAACAGACCCAGATGAGTCCTGGTGGTGCAATTGGCCATGGGTGGATGGCCAATAGCCTGAAGGGTGTCAACAGGAAGTCTCCAGGTGGTTAAAGCAAACACATTCAAAAACTCTGTCCCACAAAGAAAGAGAAAAGAAGAAAGAGACACACCACATATCCACATCATGTATTTACAAGTGGTCCTGTTACAGAATTGTTCAACCCTCAAGCAACAGGACACCAGGAACACATGAAGCACCTGGGAGTTGTTCAAAATGGGGACACCCCTTTGGTTGGCATTTCTAAAGGGACACCAACAAGACACTACCCATTATCCGGGAATCCCGATTTGAAACAAATACCACCTTGAGCCAATCCAAGTTGAACCAGGGTTTGACGATGGTCCCTTTGGCTTCTCGTTCAAAGAGTCCATGTCGAGAGTTGTTGAACTCGCGTGTGTTCAACCAGGGCCGCTTTCAGTTCTTAAACGGCCAAACACGCGCAACCGCTTGCTTTGCCCAGTGCATCCTTCAAAAAAAGTCCCCTTCGCAGCGGTACTCACTGGTGGGTTGCATCGATGTGCCACTTTGAAGGTCCGGCAAAATGAAGGGACCCTTGTCAAATGTCCAGACGCGACACAAAGGCGCGTTGAATCTCAGGCAGTTTCCTTTGCCATCAACTTCCGAGAAAGGCCGGGTTGCGTTCCAAGAAGAGACTATACGAGACCAGCGCAGGACATTCTCCGGCAAGTCCGCCGCAACCCTAGGTTTGATAGGACTTGTGCCGGGTTCTATGAACGTCGGCTTCCTTCACATATACATAGGGCACCCCCTAACCCCCAGTTTGTAAAACAAAAAAACACAAACGACAAAAACCAAAACTAGACCACGGTTGGCCCGAAAGCAGAACATCGCAAGCAAGGTCGGCCCAACGCTGCAGGATGCGTTCTTTTTCCCTACACGAAGCATTCGTGAAGCAAGCGCGAGACAGCAGGCAAGGTGGTCTGTGCAAGTTGCTCTGTGCAAGTTGCTCTGCGTAAGTTGCTCTGCGCAAGTTGCTCTGCGCAAGTTGCTCTAGGCAAGGCGCTCTGCGCAAACTGGTCGGTGCAAGTTGGTCTGCGCAAGTTGCTGTGTGCAACTTGCTCTGCGCAAGTTGCTCTGCGCAAGTTGCTTTAAAATGCAAGTTGCATCTTGCGACGCCCGCCCGCGGACCAGGGAGGAATCGAACCCGCGACCCGCCGGTTCCGGGAGCAGGCGCGCGAACCACGAGACAACTCCCGAGGACCAGTTCGAACAACAAAAGTTGCAAAAAACCTCGAGTTTTTGCACCTCGACCACGCCGATTCCCGCAGAGGGTTGCGCGAGCACCGCAGAAATCGCAAAAAACCTCGAGTTTTTGCACCTCGACCACGCCGATCCCCGCAGAGGGTGCGCGAGCACCGCAGAAATCGCAAAAAACCTCGGTTTTTGCACCTCGACCACGCCGATCCCCGCAGAGGGTCGCGCGAGCATTAGAAATCGCAAAAAACCATGGGTTTTTGCACCTCGACCACGCCGATCCCCGCAGAGGGTCGATTTTCGTGTAGTGTCGTCGGCACTACCCCGCCGCCCTAAGAAGAGATTTTAACTCCTCGCAAGTCAATTGCACTTGACTCCTTGCGCTTGCAACTTGCACTTGACTCCTTGCTTGTTTCAAGGAGTCATTTCAATTGCAAGGAGTCATTGCAAGGAGTCATGGCAAGGAGTCATTGCAAGGAGTCATTGCAAGGAGTCATTGCAAGGAGTCATTGCAAGGAGTCATTGCAAGGAGTCATTGCAAGGAGTCATGAGAGCCATTGCAAGTTGCAAGGAGCCAAGTTTCCACGGCCTCCTCCTCTGCCGTGCCTTCGGAGTCTTCTTTTGGGTCTTGCAAGTGGGCCTTCAAACACCCGCACGCCAAGGTCAAGGCACGACAGACGTCCTGTCGCCAGCAGTGCGCTTTTTGCTTGGCGTACTTGGCCATGGGGGAAATGTTGGAGAGCACACGAAGGGCCAAAGGAATTGTCTCCAGAAGATGAACAACCTCATCCTTGGATGGGTTGATCCGCGCCTTCACGCAGAAGTTGTAGCCCGCCGCGAAAGCTTCCACGGCGTCGGGCAACCCGACGTAGTTCTGCAAGACCTTGGACTGGATCAGACTCAATTCTGCTCGAGCCTCCACACTTTCCGGGTCGGCGTCCAGGGTCATCAGGAGCTCAGACAACGCCGGGAAAATTGGGAACTTGGGATGGTTCGCCATCCGTTGCAAGACCCCGCACTCCAGCTTCTCCTCCTCCATGCTGACCTGCATCTTCTCGTGGTGCAACTTGCCGGCTAGCTCTAGCACCTCGCCAACCATCGTCTCATCCCCATTGCGAAGCTTCTGCAAGCAATCAGGCTGGGCGTCCACTGCAGGCGGAACGGGGGCAGAAGTCCGGGCCGCTTTGCTTTTTGAGGCTGGCTCTGCGGCCGCCTTGCGCTTGAAGAGAGCAGGCTCGGCCGGCGCTGACGCCAGGGAGCTTCCCGCGAAGGCTCCTGCAGTGGAAGGCGCAGCCTTAGTCGCGGACTCCGGCGCACCCATGGCTGGCGCAGGGTTGAAGAGGGACGACATGCCCGTGGTGGCATCTGGCGCGCCCCCCTCTTGAAAGCAGGCCTTGAGGCCCCGCAGCAGACAGGCGTCGCTCTGGAAGTTGTGCACGAACTCCCGGAGCTCGCTCGGGTGCAGCGCTATCTGCTTGCCGATCTGTTCCGACCAGCGCTTTCGGTCCTGCATGGGAGCCATGCCCTGAAGGATGTTCATGGCAGTGGTGTACCCGTGAGCACAAGCAAGGGCAACTCGCTGCCAAGCTTGATGCTGCTGAACTGAGGGCTCTGAGAGAAAAGTGAGCAGCGTCTGAATACTTGCGTCGAAGTCGCCGGTTTCCTTCTTCTTCGTGTCCAAGATCTTGGCAGCGGCCACCAAATCCTCGTTGAAGGATGCACAGATAGTCTCAGTGTCTTCCTGGAGCTGGGGGCTACCGAAGTACTCAAAGTACTTCTTGCCCTCCGTCACGGAGGCTGAGACAGTTGAGATCCAAGTGGCCGGTCTGTTCATGGCCTCGCAGTTGCTGGGCGTGAGCCGTGCGGCGATGCCTTCCAACGAAACGAGCACTGTGTCGCTGGCGGCTCTCTGGCGCTTGACAAGAATGCTGCCATCCTCGCCCGGGTATGGACGGAGAATGTCCAAAGCGTAGTGGTCTGGCATGGGCACTGCGTTGGGGTGCGTGGTGTCTGGGCCTCTGAGCCCTTTGCCTTTGTTCCATGCACCTTTGCCCCAAGCGCCACCGCCAAAGCTTCCACCTCGCTTGCCCATGACGATGGGGCTGGAGCTGCTACTGAAATTTTGAGCGAAACTAGCTGCAACATGTTGCTTCGAAACAACTGCCCCTTCGCTACTCATGGCATGTTGGACGACCGGCAGTTCACTGTTTGCGAACACTCTGAGCATAAGGCTTCGACGGGGGCGTCCAGGCAGGCTTGGCAGAGACCGTCAAAGCTGACTGTAGTGTTGCGTTCTGTGTTGATGATGTTCGTTCCGAGCTCTTGCTTCATATGAAAATAGCTGCAGCAATCAGGCATTGTCGTTGCAGCGACAAAAACTCACAAGCCATGGAAAACAAGTTCACGTGGTCACATCCGAATGACTGAAGATCTTCCACGACCGCCGCGGCCCATGCTGAGTGCAGGGGTTTCAGAGCCAAGATACGAACCTTTGGGGCCAAGTGCTGCGTGCCGTTGGGGCTCGCAAGGCAACTAGCCCGCTGTTTTCTTCAAAGCTCTGTGGAAACGCCCGCCACGAAATCTGTACCTTAGGCTGCCAAAATGCTGCGCCTGCCAAACATGGGTTTGGCCAGACTGCTTTCCATGTTGTTTCGCTGGCAGGTGCGCTATATAGCCCAACTGGAGGTCATCAAGGCGCAGTCACGCTTGCCAGGCCGACCTGCGCTATCTGCCGCACCCCTGCGCAGGAGCGGCAAGAGGCCGAGCTCGCCACGTTGAAGGCGGAAAAGGATGAGCTGAAGGCCGACAATCGAACCCTTCGAGCGGAGAACGAGGCCTGGAAGGCCGAGAAGGACGCGTGGGAGACTGAGCTCAGGGAACTAAGGCTGGCGAAGGATGGCTTGGAGGCCGCGCGAAAACACTAAACTTCCTTTGATGATACACTGCCAAGGCGTCGTCCAGCGCGCCCACATCAATGACAGCTTGTTCGTAACCAACTTCTTGCAACACAGCGTGGAATGAGGGGAAAAGCTGAATCTTCGTGACCGCCATGCACAAGGGCCCCAATGGGCACAAATACGACACAATCCTAGCTCAAATCTTTGTCAAGTGCCACAAACTACACTAAACCGGTAGGTGAGCCCTGAAAAAAAAAAACCACAATGAAGACAAGGCGTCAAGAAGCACACACGCACACAAGCGTGCACAAATCTGTCTGCTCAAAGTTTTTTCGCGCACAACGTCAAACTCCAGCAGCCTCAAAAATCGTCCGCCTGCCAACTTCACAGGAAGCCAAAAAGGATTTACAGGAGGCCAAAAGCATTTGCGCCTCAAGCAAGGCGGCGCCATCACCGCGGCCGTTTCCGGGACAGCTCAGCCTAGCCAAGACGCTGGCAACGGGAAACACAGGGCTGTCTAACATGCCCCCGGCCTGCGCGGTTGTCCTGATCATAGCTGACGCGGCCCTGTTGGTGGCTTTCTCCTGCGCGCAATCCGAATGCTGCTACAACTCTCGACACAGGCCCGCCTTATCAATCAACTGGGCAATTTCCCGCCGCAACTCCAAGACTTCGGTTTGGAGGCTGTTCACCCAGGAGTTGCCGCGGACAGACGCAGCCTCCAAGCCATCCTTCGCCAGCCTTAGTTCCCTGAGCTCAGTCTCCCACGCGTCCTTCTCGGCCTTCCAGGCTGCATGGAGTCAAGTGCAAGTCGCAAGTGCACGGAGTTAAGTGCAAGTTGCAATTGCAAGGAGTCAAGTGCAAGTTGCAATCCTTGCCATGACTCCTTGCAATGACTCCTTGCAATGACTCCTTGCCATGACTCCTTGCACTTGACTGCTTGCAATGACTCCTTGCCATGACTCCTTGCCATCACTCCTTGCAATGACTTCTTGCCATGACTCCTTGCAATGACTCCTTGCAATGACTCCTTGCAATGACTCCTTGCAATGACTTTCATGATGATGATTCCTTGCAATGACTCCTTGCAATGACTCCTTGCAATGACTTTCATGATGCTGATTCCTTGCAATGACACCTTGTAATGACTCTCATGAGAACAACTCAAGTGAACCCAGCGGAAGAACCCTTCGCCATGCTTTCGGGAAAAAACAAACTTTTCGGTCCCCTCGGTCCTTAGTTCCACCCTGTTCCCTCAAAATGCTGGCTTGTCCTTGATCCCCCGCTCAAAGTTTCACTTTTAGTGGGTTGAATGGAAGCTCCCACTGAGCCAACAAAAAAAACCTAAAAAACAAAGAACCGGACGGTTGGGAACCACCAAGAATGGACCTAGGTCCTCCAGTAGTTTGAGGTTCGAATAAGTTGGTGCCATTTTTTTTTGTTTATTCTAGGGGAACCCTCCCAATCAAAAAAAGGGGTGAGAAAGGGCACTACTAGGGAACCTTTTTCTGTAGTATATTTTAGGGGAACCCTCCCAACCAAAAAAGAAACAGAACAAACATCTGGCACCTGGGGACCCTTCCAACCCAAAAACATCCGTGAGAAAGGGCTCCAATTGCTGGGGGACCCATCGGACAGCTCCATCGGACTCATCCAGACGCCCTCGGAAGGATTTTCGGCGCCTGCGCTCCGCCTCTTTGGCCTCATGCTGCAGCTCCTGGAGACTTGAGCTGACTGGGGTGCCAGGTTTGGATAGTGGGAAACCAACAGGTTGCACTATTTGGGGGGATACTTACAACCCATTTTGGATAGTGCAAAACAATTTTTATGGATTTTTTGGGGGTGGGTTGGTTGCAACTTTTTTTTTTTTTTTTGCAATTTTGGGAACTTAGTTTCAAGCAAACCCAGCTTTTCCCACGTTTTGGGTCCCACTTTTCGCGCGCACGTTGCCATGGCACCTCGCAAGGATCGCTTCAGGAGGAAATTGATCTTCCAGGTACCCTCCCACAAATGCCATGTTAGTGGGAGGGAGGGTCACCTTGTCATTTTGGGGAACCCCCCTAGTTTCAGACACACCCACTTTTCCCATGTCGTTTTGGCTAAAGTTATTTTGCCTCGGGCACAGGCACACACACATTTGTTTGATGACATCGGTACAGGATATATTTAGTATAATCACTATCTTCCTTGGCCATCAACATCTACTGTATCACTTAGGGGACCCCCTGGCATGAAACGGCAGCGTCAAATTCAAGGTTCGGTGCAACATGCGGAACCGCCGTCCCAAAACAAACATCAGGGAGCCCCACAATCAAGGAGCTTCATCAGGGGTGAGCTCAGTTTATCCCAAAACGGGTGAGCTCGTCATAATTTGCCCCGAACCCGTCCAATTTGACTAGTTGAGTGAGCCAGACCTCAAATTGACCTCTTATCATTTGCCAAATTCACCATTGGAGGTCTTCTATTTCCTCCAGTAGAGAGGATAGAATAAGGGCACTATTTTTTGTCTTTTCTTTTTCTTTCTTTTTCTGTAGTCTATTTTAGTAGGGGAACCCTGAACCAAAAAGGGGGTTAAAAGGGCGCTGCTGGGGGACCTAGTCTTACTGCAGGTTTGTAATCTTGCCGGTTCTCAGGGAATGACCCAGGGTTTGGGAATACAGCTAGGGATTCATTGAAGAATGAAATGAGGGATTCCCGAAATGGCTTCTCTCGGGGTCATTCCAACTCATTGCCGATCGAACCACCAAGGTGTTTGCCTTGTTCAGGGCCCCCAAAATCCCAACATGGTAAAGCATCCGTTTGGTTTGGCTTTAAACAAAGTTTAAAAGAGGGCTACCTTTCAAGACGAGCCCAAGTTCATTGTTTAGGGGACTCCCCAAAATGGTGAGTCCTTTTTGGCTTTAACCCGAGCCCAAAAAGGGGTACCCTTGAAATCGAGACGAGCCACCCAAGTGAGGGCCACCGGCCGACCAAACCCCTTCGAATGCTCCTCCGAGCGCTGCTTGAGCTCCTCCGCCCGCTTGTCCAGGGCCTGGCGGGTCGACGGCGATCTCCGCACGTTAGGAGGGGCCCCCCCATGTTTGGTGGATGGAAACCAAAAGGAGACCACCTTGTTGCTCGCACCGGATGGACTTCTGGGGTACTACTACAAAAAGCTTTAAGTCAAACTGGGAGAAACATGATTGTAGTTGTCTGGCATTATATTGTGTCTCTTTCTTGGGGGCTGCCTCCCGCTTGGACTTTGGAGAGAAGCACCCTTGAACATTGACAGGGGGTCCTCCTTTTCGCAAAGTTGCAACTCGCTGGGTGTTGTGCAGAGATCCTCTTTGAAGGAGTCGAGCTTTTGTTTCCTTCGCAAATCCTCTTCAAACCGTTGTGCGAGTTTTACAGAGCACCACGCTTCAAGCTTGTTTGAGAGACTTCAAAATCTGAAGGCACAAGGATCCCTTCTCAGGGATTTCGCCAACGGCAAGTCCTTCCCTCCCCAAGTCCTTCGCGCATGTCACGTGACCGCCAACAGCGTGTGACCGAACCTTTTCCCAAGTGCGTGTGCATGGCGAATGCTCTAATGCCAAGCGAAAGGCCTTTTCGGAGAGGGCTTCAGAATTTTTGGGTTGGTCTTTTCACCTGCGAAAAGGGTGTGAACCTTTTGCAAGCTAGTGGTTGGCAACATTCATGTTCGATCTTGGCCGGCTATGCCACGCATGCTACGCAAGTGTGAAAGGTGGTCTGCCAAAACAAGACATGCAACAAATCCTGCAATATAATCTTAAAAAGCAAGTTTTGGTCAAACATCAAACCTTGGTTGCCTGTCAAACAAAAGCAATAGGACCCTTCCGAAGGAATTTGGTTTGCGACCTGATCCAAGATGCAAGATGACGTTTCCTTTTGGCGATGAAATTTATTTTCAGTTGGTGAGTTGGCCTTCGTCTCATGCCATATCTTAATTCATGTGCGCGATCTTAGGATTGGACCCTCTCTTTGTCACGAACTGTCGGGAGAGCTTTTGGGCTCCCTTTTGGGCGGCTAAACACGTGCGTCCAAACAGGCACAGGAATGTGGTTTTGCCTTTTTCACAATAAATCATGCACAAGCCGCTTCCCAACCCAGGAAAGGAAGGAACCGCAAAACCATGAGCCCTTCCCAAACCGCCAAGCCCTACAACTTCCAATGGACCAATATCCCTGCCATCCTTTTCATCATCGCGATAGAGTGGGTCATGATGACTATTATCACCGAAAGGGCTTCCGGTTACGACTATAGTTAGTAACCAGCGGAAACCATCAGATAACACCTGGAGGTCAAAAACATGGTTTCCTACTACAGTGGTAACTGGAAGCAGTGCCACCGCCAGGGTGTCTCTTTTGTTTGACGGCACCCCGTTTTTACATGGAAACCAACAACATGGACACCAACCTCATCGAAACTTACCTCAGATGCCCAGTGGCCGTGGGAGAAAAAGGGCATCCGTTCTTGGTTGGTTGACTTTTCAGGGGAACCCTTTCCAACAAAAAAAGAGGAAAACAGCGGAATCCACTGGGCAACTGGGTGACCCAAGCTTTGGGTTGCTTTTTATGAGAAATCAAAGGGACACCAAGCAGTTGGACCTGCATTGGGAACACCATGGGCTTCAGACAAATGCGACAATTGATTTCAATCACGTGGAAATCCGCCATTTGGGTTCCGATTCCTTTAAGCCCGAATCCGCCTCTAGGAGGCCGTCCAGGTGGGCGTCCTGAGCGCTACCTCAGATGCCGATGGAAGTTGACATATATATATATATATATTGAGAGGAGGTTGACATAGTGGTCAAATTGTTTCCTGAGGAAAGGCCTGAAAAATAAGTCACATCTGAAGTAGAATTCTACGCGTTCGAATTAGATTAGTCAGAAGAAGCAACCAGCGTGTTTTGCCTCGCTAAGCTTCGTTTGAATTACAATTGCTATTCCATTTGGAATCCTCCTTCAACAAGTTGAATGGGTGCAATGGGCCCAAGTCGAATGGAGTGGAAGTGGACCCTTAGTTTAATATTGATATGTATAACATACATAACATACATAATTATAGGTATATATATATATATATATGTATATATCTACATAAATGTATACTCCATATATGATGATGAACCAAACTCAACGCTCTTACCTGCCGGAGTCCACTCGCAACTCTTTCGGCTAGTCAGCAAACGAAGCTATTTCTGGAGTTGGTATAGCCGAAAATTGCGGGGTAGTGGGGCCCTCACCCAAGGTTGGTGCACCCAAAACGGGATACGCCACGCAGGGGTTGAGCTCTTAGCTCCAGCCATTCGCCCTATTGCCTGGAGCTCGACACAAGGGGCCAAACAATTACATACATGGCCATGGGTCAAAATCCCGTACCCCCAGTGAACATCCCAATCCCAACTAAAATAGACTAAAATGGGTGGTGCACCTACCCCAAAATGGTACCATTGGTCTTGACCCACAGCCACATGACTCGATGATTGAACCTGCTTTCAAAGTCCCCCACTCCCTTCAAGGGGAAATATAGGTCGCCCAGGGGAGCGCGAAAGCGGGCAGTCGAGTCGAGAGCCGAGGTCGCAGCTATCTTCGTCAGAACGCATGGTATTCCAATAGTTCGAGATGAAGTCACCTTGCATCCGACAAGCAAGCAAAGCAAACACAGCAAACACACACGTGAACCAAAACGGTCGGCAGGGCCCTGGTTTGAAACGAAACTGGACTGCCTTTGGGGGTTTGTGCTTTCACAAGCAGAAACCAGGCATCGCCTGGGCGGGTCTTTGAGACATGCTATCTCTCTTCAGATTTGAAGCTGTCCCAGCAAATAAATCTTGAGTCAATGGGGATGTCCTCTGTTTGATACGCTTTTGAGGTAAAGTTGGAAGGGACACCAAACGGAAGACCACCACCTTTGGTCCCGATTTTCACCATAGCCATGGTGTCGTCTTCCGAACTTCGGCCACAAAAACGCTACAACCCCCCAAAAGTGACTAAAGTTCATGACCTGAACCAGAAAGCCGAGTACATGATTCTGGGAAGCGCATCCGACTGACACAGCCGAGCGCGCGAAGCTTTCGGAACTTCACGAGTTATTACCTTTGCGGGGACATGAAGGTTGTACAAACACCCCTGGAAAACTCAGTCAATTGTAGTTCAGAACAACACCACTGCGAGTTATAGGATCCCCAGCCTCTCCCCTTGTTCCCTCTGGTTGCCCAACCTATGCTATCAAAAGGTTTACTTGGGGACTATAGTGAGTTTTCTCTGAATGAAGCATGAAGTCACCCCAGGTCCGACCGGTTGAACTTCAACGGTTGGATCTCGCATGCCACCGTTGCTGAAATGTTCGCCCAAGGCCAACTGCCGATTCCCGAAATAGGGAGCCTGTGCATTCGTTGCAGGCTACCTCTTGCCTTGAAGCCATCCTTCCAGAAGGTCTCAGATTTTGGGGCGATCCCCCAGGTGGGCCAAACAGTTCAATTGCAGAAGCAGACTCCTGACTTCTCGTCGCACCTCAGAGGCCGCATTCGCTAGCCTCTCTGGCAAAGCCAGGCATGGGCCCGTCAAAAATTAAAGCGACACCAAAGGACACCCATGCTCCGAGTTCTGATGCAGAGCTTGCAGGAACCCTGCCCAGTTCTGATGATTCTTGCTTGCTGACTTTGTCTATATCCCCGGTCAAAGACTACCGCAAGGCGCACTTCGGCGCCTCAACTGAAATTTGTTGTCCTGGGTGTTGCTCAAGACCTTTCCTTTCGGGTCCACGCCGAAGGAGGTGGCCCGGTTGAAGCATCCGCATGGAGCCACTTTCTCTTGAGCCCCATAGGGCCTATAGCTCTGGGCAGTTTTGCGGTGGGTGAAAAGCGGAAAATATCGAAGGCCCAACTTTCCGGGTCTCAGTTGGGGCCTTAAAATGCACTCGATCGGAAGTGAGTGTTAACAATCTCTTGACGGGAATCTGAGCAACTGACATAGTTGCCACTGGGAAATGAGGGTAGGTCAAAGGAGAACACCATGTTAATAACGACTGTGGCTGATATATGCTTTTTGGAAAGAGGGAAACAAACACAGGCAAGCGGTGCGTGTTGAAAAACGAAAACGAGACTGCGACTGGCCCGGACTAAGACTGCAAAAAGTATGTGTTGGCAACCTGAAAGGGAACACCAAAAAGCCACGTCAAAAAGAGAAGCCACGTCTTGCAATGGTTACTTGATCCCTCTCAAATTTAGTGAGAGCACTTGTGAAGTGACCCGAGGGGAAGCGGATGTCTTTCCGATTCTCACTTTCGGCGTGGATTGGAACAAAGGCCAACTGATTATCTTTTGTTTGCCACTCAAAATGGCAACCACGCCCAAAAACAACAACTTGTTGTCTACCGCTAAACATGGCAACCATGCCCAAAAAGCGACGAAAGTCCGAAACGGAGCTCAGGGAGCAAGGCTTCGTTGGTCCAAAAGCCGAGGCGCGATGCTTCTCCGCCTCCAGCCGCGCAGCGCGGCTCTTCAGGCCTCGATGGAAAATTCGACCCGATCTGGAGACACCAAGGGAACCCAGGCGGTTTTTTCAGGGACATTGAAACCATCTCCTTTCTTTTCTAGTTTTGCTTTGGGGGCGATTTGTTTCAAGATTCAAAGGGTTCAGGAAAAAGAGAAAGCCTGCAAATGGGGGTCGGGAAACACTGAGCAATTGTCTATTCCTGCTTGCTGCCAGTAGGGCCCCCTTTGTGTGCTTCGCCATGTGAGCCCACCAAACAAAGAGGGGCCACTGAACAACTTCTGTCCAAATGGCAGAACGGATGTCAATTTTCTTCGGGGTTCCGGATGATTCACATGTCCACATGGTATCTCTTTTCAACAGGAGTGCCAGTCAAATGTAGGTAAAGGTGCACAGTTTTTCTCGCACATTTGGGGCGTGTTTCATGGACTTCAGAAGGGATGGTGTTCCTCTAGTTTCCCAGCGCGGCCAAGTCGGGTGACCCGACAAGGGATGAGCTGCGGGTCGGAAGGGCCGAGTGAGATCCATTGGCAGCGGTTCCAATGGGTCCTCTGCATCGGGAGCCGGCTTGCAATTCTCTGGGCCCAAGGTTGGGTCCAAGGAGCATTCCCCAAGAAACAAGAGTTGGAACAACGGGCATCTTCAGAAGCTCCTGTGTTTTTTTTTATTATTATTATTATTATTATTATTATTATTATTATTATTTATAATTCAATTGGATTCAACCGGTGTTGCAGGGAACCAGGCTGACCTCTAGATTTTACAAGGCGTCCCTAGGTTTTCGTGGAGATTCAAAGTCAAGCAAAACGGTACGGGTGCTCTCCAAATTAGGGGACCTTTTTGGCATCCTTTTAAAGTCTTAACAGCCAGGTCCAAAGCCAACAAAGCCATAATATGGACTTGTCTCAAAATGGGGCCTCCCCAAAAATAGTTGGCGTCCTTTAACAGCCGCAAACAAAAGTACCTCCAACCATGGACACATCATTCCATAAAATATGGCACCCCTCCAGAGGATTTGTTTTTTTTGCATGTAATTTGCCGAGCCCGTGCCCAGTGTCCCCTGCTCTGGGGCTGTGGGCGAATGAGCAAGGCCTCATGAGAGTTCTTCCTGAGCGCACCGACCCCTGAATTAGCCCAACCCCTGGCTTGCTCAGGGGCCACGTTGGTCCACGCACGTTTTCCCTCAAGGGTTTATTATGACAGCCTTGTTGCAAAACTAGGGACGTCTCATCGTGTCGAAAGAAAGCAAAGAGGGAACCGAAGGGCCATTGAGTATCTCGGGCATTGGAGCGCCATTCGAAGGTCGCCATTTGGGACAAGCGGAAAAACCCCCGACCATACATGGCGTCAGGGAAAAAGGACTAATGGATACCAAAGATCCAATCCTTCTTTGAGGCTGGGTACGCTCGCCACTTTGGTGGAGATCCAGCTATCGCATTGGGTATGTTTTCGCTAGCCTGGAAGCATTGCCTTCAGGGATCTGAGTACATTGCACTCCAGAAGTCTTCGGAACTCGGTCTTGTTGACTGACAAAGATCGCCATCTGTTTGACGGGGAGCTTGGACCCAAGGGATTCAATTACGGAGGATCTGCTCGTTACCTCGGAGCTTCCCATACTCCCAATACTTTGTAGGCATATGTGACATGTCTTGATTGGGTCTCTCTTTGACCACGAGTTGGCCTTTTAACCCTTTCAATCAATTCGAGGGGATCCCTAAGGAGGGGCTCTTCGCTTGGAGGGCTAAAAGGTAAACCCTAGTTCAAATCCTTCGACGGTGTTTTGCGTCTGAACGAAGAGGACATGACAACGACAACAAAACAAATGGCATTGATCACTTTGACTTTGGACGGGTCCTTACTTTTAGTCTCACAAGGTCAACATCTAGTCATCTAGCTTCCAGTGGACCTTCTCGTAGTGCAACGAAGGATTAATAAAACCCCTGGTTGATGTATAAGTGGCGTGTCCTGCACAAGGTGGTCCTTCATTGTGGCGGACACCTCTCTGTGATTGGTTCTGGCTAGTCCTGGGGTCATTAGCTTCTGTGACCACTGATACATTCCTTCCCCCCCGTAACCTCAGCAACACAAAACGTGCTCTCCTTCATGCCCTTCATTGCACATTCAACTGAACATCGAACCATGTCATACCACGAACCGACCAACGGTATTGAAGAACAAACCCACCAAAACGGAATTGAACAAAAGAAGCCAACACAAAACCAAGCTGTTTCAAAAGCAACTTCCCAACATCGAATTAAACAAGACACACCCACAGACACATCCCGGTCGAGTTGGTAACTCTGCCAGGCTTCGGCGGGAGGTCATTGTTGCCGTCGCCCTTCACCGGCGCATCTCCCGCCAAGCTACGCACCTCGGGCTTTCAAACCATCAGCCAGCCCGTGAGTCATAATCAAAACTCGGTATTACGATGGTCTGGCCGCAGCTATTTATGGCTGGGGTTTTCCCTTAGTAACCTTCATCTACTCGGGTTTTGATTGTGGCTCATGTTTGTTCCAAGCAGTGATGAACATGTTCAATTTCAGAGCTAGAAAAGGAGTTGTGGCTGGTCATTCATGCAACCCCGCCACAAACATATGAACAAACGCCTTCCAACGCCCGGTGAGGAAAACGATGCGAGACATGCGCACACCTTTCGATTGCGTGTGGCCAAAATTGAAGGGAACCCTCATTAGAAGTAAAGGCTGGGATATGCTGGACTGGGCTCCATGTTGGCTTGCTCCAGGATGTCTCCGCTGTTGTTTGGCAGACAGAACATAGCTCGCTGCCTTATTCCCCACTTGCGGGAACGGTCGCTCCTCAATTTGTTTCTCGTGTCATCGGCCGTAATGGATCCAAAAGTATGTGTCAAAGGAGGAGGACGGCCAGCGTTGATGGCTTTCCTTTTGAGTTCCCCAACCTGAAGAGAGTGCCCTCAATAAGAACACTGATGGCTTTGCTTTTGGTTTCTTGAACAAAGTATACAAACCCAGTACCGTCCAAAAAAACAAAAACACCACGGCAAACCACTCCTGATAGCCGGCGTCGAATGATCCCAAACCGAAACCCCTGCGACATATCGCCAGGGCTTGGATGTTTCATCTGAACAAGTCCGTAAAGTGGGTACGATGGTCGGTCGTTCTTTTATATGAACCACACACCTAGATTCAATGCATTTCCAGTCCCGATTTCCTGGATGATAAGCAGGGCGTTCAATAGCCCAAGGAGTACCTCCCTGGAATTTTCAACTTACCTCGCAACCTGATTGGAACCTCCCCGGAAACTCATTGGAACGCCCTGGATAGACAAAAACCATGTCGCACCACCTTTGAAACCGCGGGAAACTATTGCCTGTTAGTATTTAGGGAATCATCATTCCAGGGTTTCTTCGGTTTCCGCCGAATTTTGTCTATCCACAGAATTGAATAGCTAGCTCCGCTGGCGTAGGCATCCTTTAGGAACCAGAGGTCAATGCTGTAGCTCACTGGAAAGGTCATTGGTCCATCCCTTTTGAGAGAGAGGGATCCCCTCCAACCAACGTGTTTTCACACCTTGAGGCGTTTGGAGGTTACTGAATAGGCAACCCAAACGCAAACCCTGCACCCAAAGGATTCGTCTAAGAGCATGGAGTCTTGCAGAAGCCAAACAGAGCAAAGCAAGGCATTGCGAAATTACACGCCCAGGGCTTCTACTCCTCTTTGACAAATCTGCTGAGTCTGGTCAACAGGCATCGAACTGCTTCTTTTGTGAACAAGCACACAAGATGACAACACCGACCAGTTAAAGCTTGTATTGTCAGGTCTGAATTTTGGGTCTCGACAAGCAAACAAATTGGTGAATGCGATCCAATTGAACAGGCAAGTATATGACCCAAACAAGCTTCAGCCATCGAACAGAAACCTGTTGCGGCGTTAGAAACCTTTTGGGGTGTTACTTTTTGAAGCCTACACATCATATCGTGAATTTGACCCCCTCCTATCGTGATTTTCTTGTTTCTTGTCCTAGTTTATGTTTTCTTGTCGTGGTTCGGCAGCCCCCTATACACATCAACTCTTCGCAAGGAATTGTTGGAAGAGAATCTCTCACTCGCTCACTCGCGTCTCGCGCTTGCCTCTGCTATGAGGCTCTCCAAGGCCTTTCCGAACGAGCGTTGGGCTGGAAGGCGCCTATGTTGGGCTTGATGTAACGCCAAACCAAATGGGTGTGGCTCAAGATTGAAGAGCTAGGGTTACGCAGGCTGTAGTTCTTGGTGCCATTTGCCCAGGCGCCATTTTAGAACATGTTTTTGAGCCACAGCCAAATGGACAACCACCATCTTGGGTGTCCCTATTTTAAGACACATGGGTCCAGATTCGCTTGCGTGTGTGTTCGGGCAAATCAATCAAATTCCATGGGAGAGGGATGGCTCGGAACAACTTACTATCCCAAATGATCCCGATTCAATTAGGGCCCTCAAACAGCCAGAGGGACCACTAAGGAAACACCATGAAAGGCGGCATGGAGTCCACATGACAAGGACAATGGAATTGAATCCAATATGCACCACCCAAAGCAGGTGAGTTTTCCTCGACTTCGCTTGCGCACCACCTTGAAGCCATCTTCATCTACAACAAGCAGCGTCTAGTTTTCCATGTTGCTCCCCTATAACAAAAAACAAACAACTAGTAGTCTCATACCAACACATAGGTTCTTCAATTTGGTTTTTGTTCCTTCTGGTTTCCCCAAAAAAAGACAAAACAACGCTGCTTCCAGAAGAGAAACACGAAACAGACCAACCAAGGTGGTCCTCCAGTAGAGAGGTTAGACTAAGGGTACCCTTTTTTCCGTCTTCTATTTTAGTAGGGGAACCTTCCTCCCCAAAAAGGTAAAGGGCACTACTGAGGAACCTAGAAAAACGCACAGCACTCCTCCAAGAAGACGAGGGCGAGCGCTTCGAGCGGATGGAGCCTGAGCTTTCCGCAGCGCAGCCCAGGACTTGGTGCCGCCGAAGCCTGGAGCCAAGTGAAAGACTGTTGCTGACGTGTGTGCGTGTGTGTTTCAGTTGGCTTGGTTCGTGTTTCTGTTTTGTTTTCATCTTCAACCCCTTTGCTGTTGTTTGTTGTGTGGGTGCTGTTTTGGTTTTGTTGGCTTGCTGTTGGCCTTCTTGCAGCGAATTTTGTGTCGAAGAATCTGTTGCTTCGTAATCGGTCTTTCATGTTCAAGCTCTACTCGGCGCCTTCGCGAAGTTGTTCTGCAAGAGATGCTAAGTATAAGTTCTGCGTCCAGGAGATTGCTCTCAACTTCGGAGAGCGGCTCTTGCAACCAGAATAGTAGCCTGATTGTCTTCACTAGTCTTGAGAGTCATTGGTCGGCCCAGTAGGAAATCCCAGAGACAAAGGGTCGGAAGGCCGTCCTAGACGCATCGCGCAAATAGATGGAGAAGTCGAGTGCGCAATCGGTGTGGCCAATCCCTGAAGCGAGAACCAACGCCTCCAAGCAGCGGGTCGCATGGCAGCGGCGTTGGAGGCGCCGTACTGGGCTCTGGACAGGATCGCGCCCAGCTTGCCAGCATTTTGAACCGTGTGTTCTTGGAAGAGCTCAACTCGTTCTTGCTCGTTGTGCTTTGGCATCACGCAACCGGCACGGATATGCCAGCCCGCGTCAACGACCAGCGGAAGAGGCAGGATCCTCGAAACTTCTTGGAGACCAACGACATCCAACGACTCCGCCTATCCACGGGCAATGGGATGTCTCAAGTAAGGGATAGAGCCAACTTGTTCTCCGAGGGCGCAACGACACAAGATGTCAGTTCTCGGCGCTGGCAACGCGCACGAGCGCCAGACTCAAGCCAGCGCAGCCCATGTCCGACGGAAACAAGCACTGGCTTTTGCGGCTCCGCCTTGACACGCAACTTGAAAGTTGAAAGTCAAACACTTCATCTTCGATTTACCCTCCGAAACCGACATCCAGAACGGCGAGATCAGACCTTGCCCACCCGGACGCGCGAGACTCTTGCGCGGCATCACTGCAAGATGACACCGAAGTAGGTGAGCTGAGCTCAACAGCATGTAAGCTACACGTGAAAACCTTATGGTTAGGTTGTTTGGCATCATTCAGCTGATCGGAGATCTTGACGTGTGTGCGGAAGTGGTCTCGCAAAAATGATAGGCAGTTGGCCAAAAGAAGCGCCTACATTCATACAACCGCCACCCGCCGTTTGGCTGGGACGGTGCAGGATGGTCTGCGCTCTGCGTAGATGCCTCTCATTTTCCATAAGCGTGGGTCAGCAAACGGCAGAGCTCCGCCACTGCGGAATTTTGCCTTTGGCGGGAGCCACACATACTCCGGTTTAATCGCCCTGCTGAGTCTTCCTCGCCTGGAAGTTGATCCTCTTGTGGCAATACGATTCCCGTGATGCGGGAGCCAGGAGGCGCGCCCGGCTTGTGTTGAACAAACCCCGTCGCACATGGTGGCATGGCGCTAAACAGCTGATGAGCTAACAGGGCACTCTTAGTTTTGCGCAGTTCTTTCCGTACGAGACGAGACCGAATGTTGTAGTCCCCTGACACCCCCGTGTTTACACCAACTCATCTGATCTTGTTGGGTTGTATGCGTTTTTTTGGTGTTCATTCGTTGGAAAGAATGAACTTCGACTTGCCAGATTCCTTGCCTAGCGCATTTCTGCTTCACGCGGGAATAAGTGTTCTTCTTTCTTGCAAGAAAACATGACTTGGTGATTTCAATGTCTGCGCCTAGATAGAGGGGCGGCAGCTCGGCAGCCAAAGGCCTGTCATGCAAAGGGGTTCCTTTACCAGCCTCGTTTGCGCCGCGTCAAAACACAAACAAGCCAAACTCCGACTGTCAGCTAGTCATAGGGATGACTATGTGCTAGCGAAATGCCGGCTGCCTCATGCGCTCAAGCACAAAGTGCGGCGAGCCCTACTGTTGACGCTAAGGTTGTTTTCGTTGTTCTCAGACACAGGCCGCGTGTCTGGCTGCACGCAAACACTCAGACCTGGACCTCCGCGTTCAGACCTGGACCTCCGCGTATCTGGCCCTACGCAAACACTCAAATCCGGGCCTGTGCGTCCCGACTGGCTCTCGTGCATCTGTATATGACTGACTCTGGCATCTGTCATCTGCATCGTTTCTGGAAGGCAGATTTGCTAAAAATCTAACAACCTTCCTTAGACGGAGAAACACCTTTGTCCCAGGACATGTCGCGCGCTCTCTCTCTCTCTCTCTCTCTCTCTCTCTCTCTCTCTCTCTCTCTCTCTCTCTTTTTGCGCGCCTCCAGACCATTCGCTGCGAGAGGCTCCCAGCACCGTCTGGACGGATCAAAGCCCAAGCTGACCCTCCGGAAATGTCACAGCGCCCAACACCCGACGTTGGGCTCTCAAGATGGTTATCAAGGTTCTTATAGGCCACTACTGCAACAATTGAAATCAGGTAGACTGCTTCTTTTGTTCGCTGCTCAAATCGAGCATGGGTGTCAAATGAAGGGTCTCACTGTTGGATAATGAACAACATGCCCAGCCTCTTTGGTTTTCTGTTGGGAAAAAGTAACTAAGTTCAAACAGTTGTTCCGCCCTTGGCTGGGAAACGACCAACAAACCCGACAAGAACAAAAGGCAAAGGATTGTCAACTAATCGTGTAAGTGGAACCCACGCATGACCTGAGCATTGAAAAGAAACAACATTCCACATGAACCCCCCAAGACATAAATAGACCCCCCCAACCCACTGATATGTCACACGATGGCGCTAGTGACATAGGCAAGGCTCTGCTTGCTACTGTATGGTTCTGACTCCCTCTACGAGCCTCAAACAACATTATTTGCTTGCTCAAAAGGACAAGGACAACTTGGGTTGCACTATGCCTCCCCCAACCAACAGTAGGCCAAGAAAACTACCAAGAATAGTGTCAGTCATACCCTTCCTCCAACTAACATAGCATTGGGACGGTACCTGGAAGACAAATTTCCTCTTCAAGGACCCCTGGCACTTTCGTGAGATTCCAGCCATGCTCTAATGGTACAGTGGATGGACAAAGTCCGTTCGCACCACCGTTCAGAAACCCTGGAATGATTCGATTGCCTGGTAAATGTCAACAAACGTTATGGTTTCAACCATGGTTTCCAGGTGGTGTAGCATTTCGTCCATCCACAGTATGTCCCACAAGAAGGGCCGAATCGCCGGGCTTGGTCGACCCAAGTCAGTTTGATGGCCGCCCGTTTGAGGAACGTTGGTTCTTCGAATATTGAAAGAGGTGAACGGTTGAACTTGACAACCATCTCCCTAATCAGTTGAAGTGGTGTCTGTGTCTGGGTCCTCCAGAGTTGAGAGGTTAGAATAAGGGTATGCATTTTTTCTGTAGTGTATTGTAGTAGGGGAACCCTCCCCCAAAAAAGAAACGGTAAAAAGGGCGCTACTGTGGGACCTAGTTTTGCGAAGTCAAGCTCAACCCTGCGCACAGCTGCATTGGGCACTTGCCAAACCAAGCAGGAACCCCTGGCTTATGGGCCATTCATTGATGGCCTGCTCAGGCACAGAACCAGAGCACATCCTGAGAAACGCAAGAAAAACAACCACCACGTCGGGAAAGGAATAACATGAAACAGATACACACACACACACACACACACACACACACACACACACACACACACACACACACACACACACACACACACACACACACACACACACACACACACACACACACACACACACACACACACACACACACACACACACACACACACACACACACACACACACACACACACACACACACACACACACACACACACACACACACACACACACACACACACACACACACACACACACACACACACACACACACACACACACACACACACACACACACACACACACACACACACACACACACACACACACACACACACACACACACACACACACACACACACACACACACACACACACACACACACACACACACACACACACACACACACACACACACACACACACACACACACACACACACACACACACACACACACACACACACACACACACACACACACACACACACACACACACACACACACACACACACACACACACACACACACACACACACACACACACACACACACACACACACACACACACACACACACACACACACACACACACACACACACACACACACACACACACACACACACACACACACACACACACACACACACACACACACACACACACACACACACACACACACACACACACACACACACACACACACACACACACACACACACACACACACACACACACACACACACACACACACACACACACACACACACACACACACACACACACACACACACACACACACACACACACACACACACACACACACACACACACACACACACACACACACACACACACACACACACACACACACACACACACACACACACACACACACACACACACACACACACACACACACACACACAAAAACACCAACTCCAGACCGGCCAGGATCCCGCGCGCTCTTGCTGCGGAAGAACTGGCCTAAGTTGAATGCCCGGGCCGCTTGGTGAATCCTTCTCTCAGTGCTTCCACGCGCAGGATCAACCACAGTTTAAGACAGAAGAGACAATCTCTGCTGACCTACGGCTTGCCTATCCCCGATTGAGATATGGTTGGTCTTGCTGCTTTGGGCATGTGAGCTCGAAGGGTATATATAGACCAATGAAGGCACCTTCATCATGCAAGCAGCCTCTCACTAGAATTTGCCCAGATTCATTGTGGCAAATAAGCAGCGCCTGTTTGGTCCTTGCATTTGGTATGCTTGCAAAGGCCTCTAGGGTTGGGCTTGAAAGCTTGGTTTGAACAAGCCTGTTCATACAGGGATTTTTACATTATACACCTGAACATTGCTTTGTAAATGGTGTTCTCCCTTTATTATTGGTGTTGAAAAAACCACATGTTTCAAATGGTGGCAAAATGGAGATTTCTTTTAAGGAGCCCATGGGCATCTGGGCATCTGGGTAGGTGGCCCGGGGTTTTTCCATTCCCTTAAAAGGAGGGCGACGTTAAAAGGACATGGGGACATCATTGGAATCCGAGCCGAAGGGACATCGAAGCATGAGCCGTCAGAGTCGTTAGTGCCAAACTGGAAGATCTCTAAATCCTTCGTTTGAACCGTTGCCTTCGTTTTGCAGGTTTGTTTTGGCTCCTCTTTTGAAAGGCTAGTGACCATTGGCAGCTTGCTCCTTGCAAGCCCTGTATTTCTGTTTGTTACGAGCAACGTGGGTGGTGAGCTGGGGTCGTGGTAACCTTCTTGCACTCTGAAACCTCGTTTGCTTCTCATCTATCATGGTTGAGAGAAGCTAATGCTCACAAAGGCCGCATCTGGCCTTCGTCTCAAGACGCTCGTGCCCTCCCAAAGCTGCCAAATGCAGAATGAGGAGCCTTTGTTTCTCATGGTCGCCTGCGTTTTTCAGGGTGTTCATCCTATTCCACTCCACGAAAAGCCTGCCGAGGCCCACATGCATGACCTGGGCAATCCTGTCTAAGAACCGGTCTTATTAGCCAGGGGTCCTTATACTTCTAAACATCACCAAAAAGGAATGGACCCGAAAGGTGATGTCTTAAACATCCAAAAGGAGAAATACCGGGAGCCCTACTACCTGTTGACCCCATGGAAAACCACACCTGTAGAAACCCTACGATAATCACCAGGAGCCCTTTTTGGACTCCGCCCCACTTTTCACACCAAACGAGAGGGGAAGAGGTTGCCACTGAAATGGATCTTCAAGTCTAACGGAAATCCAAATCTTTGTAGAGATGGGTCTGTCTTGCTCTGAGGCTGCTTTTTCTTCCTTGTTCCTTCAGAGAAACCAAAAGGAACACCCTTTTGGGAGATGGACCCCATTTTTGGGGGGCTCCGAAAGGATTTGTTTCTCCCCAGAAGGGTTTGCCATTTGTACTAGGCTGGAATTAGGACCCCAGCCAAAAAACATCTTTTTTGCTTGGTTAGTGGAAACACACAGGGGACCCCCAAAAAGCAAAAAAACAATCAACAAGGGGAGCTAATTCTGGGGAAGTGTAGAGGACTCTCCCTTGGGTTCCAAGTTGCCGCGGACCTTCCCACCCCCTTTTTACACGGAACCTCGGGATGTCCTGGTTACCATTTTCCTTTTGAGCGACTGGGTCCGGAACGTCAGGTTTAATTGGTGGCCCCTCTGGTCACTCGGTTGGGCTGCCGTGCTTGTGGTCAAGGCTCCCTGGCTCATGGATGGCATCATCCTGAGTAGGGGTTGCAGCTGTGATTTTCCCAACACGAATCGACACACAAAATGGCCGGTCTTTTCTTACTTTCGAGTCACACAACGTAACTGGTTGGCTGTGTTCGTTTGTTTGCTTTGGTCTGGTTTCGTTTGGTTTGGCTTGGTTGAGTTGGCTTCCAAACTGGTTGGCTGGTTTCCCTTCAAATATATCCAACAACAGGAGCTTCTGGCAGCCTTTCGGAGCTTTGACACCATGTTCTTTGCAGCTGGCTGAACCCAAGGGTGCAAGGGCGAGACCTTCGTCTTTTGCGACTTGTTCAAGCCACGCAACTGAAAACTCTACAAATCAACCTCGGCGGTCCGATGGCTGAAGAACAGGGAATCAACCCGTAGAACAATTTGTCTGTTCCATCGACATCTAAGCTGCAAGCGCTGCAAGCATCACAGCAAAGTGCACTGAACATCCAAGCCTCGTGCCTGTGCCTTAACCCTACGCCACTCCTCAACGTATCCAATGCTTGTTTCATATTTCGTCAACCTTAAAACATGTACCAAAAAAACACATCTCAGGAGACCCCCCCGCCCCCGGCCAAATGTGCGTTGCACATCGCGTTGCACCACCCCATTGCGTTGCACCATGTACACAACACACAAAACTGTTTTCTTTGAACATCCAAGCGCCATGCGGGGGGAAAGAAAAAACCACACACACACACACACACGCACACGCACGGCCCTGCATCTTCCATTGCTGCCCCCCTTTCTCCCATTTGTTCGTTGAACGTCCAAGCAAGCAGCACCCCTGATGCGCAAAACACACACGGCCCCCCATCTTCCATTGCCAACCTCCCCCCCCCCCCTGCCCCCCACTTTTCCGTTGAACATCGCCCGAAGCAAAACCCTCCCCCCCCCAACGCCCCCCCCCCCCCACCCATCCCACCCCACCCCCCAACGGCCATCTTCCAACGGCCACCTTCCGGCCGCTTTTTTCCTCCGCTCCCGCCGCTTCGCCCGCGCACCGTCGCCGTAGAGCGGGGACCGCTTCGCGCGGTCCAGGGCCGCCCGGAGCTGATCCGCGTCCGGGGGCGGGATGGACGGCAGCTCCTTGGGCAAATGTCTGGGGGTCAGTGGCCGGTCAGTAAAAACACTGGTGGTTCACATTTTTTTTCCACTGCCTACCGTTCAGGATCTGAAATTGCAAAAACCGAAACAAAAGAAACACAAGTCTCAGCGGAAACTATTCGGCCGGTTGAGGAACCAACAGAAATTCCCAGAACCTTTTGGGAATGTCTCATTTTTTTGGAAACAACTTGAACGCCCCCTGTTGAAACCACATTCAGAAAATGCTTGGGTTATTTGTTAGTTTCCCAAACAAGAAGCATCCAAAGAAACTATCCTCAAACATGATGGCTTTAATTAAAACAATAGGGGTTAGCTCCCCCTGGGGTTCAGGCAGGCCATCATTAAAACAAAGGTTGGGTTTGTAAAAACCACCAGCATTTACCGTTCAGGATTTTTATCATCCGAACTGGGCAAACCATTCTTTTGATGGGGTTGAACCCGCGAAGCCCACTTCCTGAGTGGACTGGCTGGAACAAACGACCAAACTTCTTGTGTGTGCCGCTCAAATGGCTAAACCAAATTCCAAAAAGTCGCTCAAGTCCGAAACGGAACTCAGGAAGTGAGAAAGACACTTCCGGGTCTTGGCAATTGGGTCCTAAAATCACAACTTATCCAGAAACCTAATACAAACGAATTGGTTCTAAACGCTGTAACAAGGGTCTCAGCCCAAGGATCCAGAAATAGAAGGGCCTGAGTAAAAATGGGTCAAAAGGTCGATTCGCTTCGGGCAACTGTGGGGTACATGAGCAATATAGCCATTCCAGAGCAGGATACTATCTTGGAACTGCCATGAATGGCAGTGGGGTTGATTTCCTGAATTTTGCAAGATGAAACAAGGGTACGTGACTGTCAAGTCATTGCATCAAAAGGAAACATGTGAGGGGCTAAATCATTGTCATGTCGCGCATCTGCTCAGATTGTGGTTTTCAATCCATCCTACAACCCCGTTCTACTTATCTAGGTCCTTCCTTACAGTACTCCGCCCCCAGCCACTACCCTAAATCCCTATAAGTCTTGAAGGAACTTCAGCAATTTGTGTTCTAGATCCTTAAGCAATCAGAAGCCGACACCCCACTAGACTCTAAGCCCATCGCAAAGCCTTGCCGATTGAGCATGACCCTTGTGATACTAAAGCGTGCCATTCCTTATGACTTTGCCACCTTAAACAGCCAGAGCAAAAGAAGTGCCTCAAAAGACCAAGGAATCAGGCACAGCACGGCTTACACAAAACGGCCACAGCAAATGGATGCTGAACAAGAGCAAGGAATCAAACACAATGCGGGGCTCTGCGAAAAATAGCCAGAGCAAATGGAGCAGGGAATCAAAGTTGAAGCGGGCTCCCTTGGAATCACAAACAGAGCTACTACAAACTCGCGCTGGAAGCTTTGGCCGATCAAAATACCTTTTGTCGAGCCATCGCTAAAGACAATCAATACATCTTTACAACCCTTGGTATGGGCTTGCAAACAACCTGTTGTTTTTTGCAGCCCCGACTAAACATGAACAGAATCAACAAACCCACAAATTGAGCATTTGGACCAGTCAGGATCCGAGCCATGAGACACCAAACTCTATGATTCACCGCAGCAAAACGCTTGACACCTGGGCTTAACAGCTTGCTCCGTTTCAATTGACCAATCAACCATACACCACATATGGGCAACACATGTTGTTCGAAATGTCAGTTGGCCCACACAATCCATTGCCCGTTTGTGGGAATTGGCTTTCCGCAAAAGATGCCACTGACAGGCCTCTGAATTTCCAAGCACTCATTCCAAGAAAGAAGGTCCCTTAAGATTTTCACAACAGCGGGCCTCGTTTCAGCAACCAACTTCAGTTGCAGATTGTTTGCGAATAGCCCTGTCAGCAGCGAAGACTTCCTGAGTGTATTTGCAACCAAGATGTAACAAGCGTGTGGTTTGCCGCAAAAGAAACAAGTCCAGAAAACTCAGGGATGATAGTGCCTTTGTTCACTCCACCTTGCCTAGCAGCTTTTGTCGGAAACGGGTTTCAACATTTGCTTCCCAGGGCACACCACAAGGTCGGCTTTGAACAACTGAGTTGCAGGAGACTTCAGTTTGAACCAACCCCCAAGGGTGGGGTTTGGACGCAGACTCCTGAAGGTCTGCGAGGACCTCCATCTCCATGGCAGTTGCACCAAGAGATTCGGGCACTGGCTGGCCCGACTCTCCTGGAGAAAGAAAACACGGAGCGCCAAGTGCCATTGATTTGGGGATTGCTCAAGAGTCCCATTGGCCCGGCCATGCCCATGGGACACTTTTCCCGTGTGGTTGAAATGTCGTCTTTTTCAACCCATCTAATGGACCTTTTGATCAACCCCTATTTGGAAAATGACTTCCATGACAACGGTATCATTTTGCGGGTGATGGATTACCCAGGAAATTTGGTATTGCAGAAATGGGCCAACTCATACCGACCCTGCTTCCAACAACCATATCGTCGGAAAGAAGAGCAAGTCCAAACTTTCGGCTGAAATGGACCTGATTGCCAAGCAGGGCAAACAGGGCCGCCACTTTGGCCAAAATGAAGACACCCATCAAACGAAAAAAAGGCCAGGTCTCAAAATAAGGGGTACCCCAAGATTGCTGGGTTTTGGTTTATCTGAAAATCCACTCCAAAACCGGCGCCAAAAAAAGGCACGCCCATCTGTCCTCAGTTCCCCTGCAAGTCTAGCTTTTCGTGGGTTGAATGAACCCCCTCCCACTAAATCCAAAAAGCCTTAAACTTCAGGAACCGCAGAACTGGGAGCCGCCAAGCCAAAGGCTAGCTCCCTCTCCTGGGCCGGACTCGGAGCTGGACTCGTCGGAGGACTCGGAGCCCATCGACTCGGATCCCGACTCGTCGATCTCCTCTGGCTCGCCGTCGCCCTCCGCCTCAAATTGCTAGCCGCTGGTGTAACCCAAGATAATGCCAACGCCACAATCATACTCCATTAAGTATCGATCTCACTCTCCAATCCTTCTTTAAGAAAAGGTTCAAGTCCTCAAAGAAAAGGTGCAATTTTTTCAGGGGGCTCACAAATGTGGCGAGAGGTTGCTAAGACCTTAGCGTCCAACTTTCATGTCCATTCAACCCAGACAAGTACCTAGGTACAATCACGGTTAACTATATGGGACAGGAAGGGTTGGCGGACAAATCCCTATGGCTATGCCCGGCCCCACTTGCCAATGTGTTGATCCACTTCTTTTAATCCCCCAGACCTCTGGCCAGGAAAACCAGCAGGTCGGGAATCAACATCAACCGCTAAAGCTCAGACTGGCAACAGCTCGCCCCACCAAAGACAATTAGGGACACAAAGCCAACATTCTGGTTTCCTAAAGAAACCTCGACGTTCTGAAAAAAAGGAGCTTGATAGACATTTTAAATAGGTTCCCTAGTGGCCTGTCAACGGAAAGGACACTATTTTTGGCTGCCTTGCGTGAATCTGTGGGGAATAAGGCTCCAAAAGGGAACTATAGACTGTAAGACTTTCTCGAAATGCAATCCATAGAAACACATTCGCTAGAAAGTGCGACATCAAACCATAATGCATTTTTGAGGGGACTGATAATGTGGAACCCCCCCAAAAAGGCATGGTTTCCTTTCTGGTAAACTTCTTTATTCCTACGCACTTTTTGGGGGCTAACAAAGGGAAGGGTCCATGGATGTTTTAAGGCTACTCTTTTTGGGGTTGTTCTAACGGGAAACCAAACGGACTCTACCTCTTTCGATTTCTGTTTGGGGGCCCTAGCTTTGGCAAATACTTTCAGAGACTGGCGGCCGGGAGATAGTGCAGCTGGCTGGAAGGACTGGATGGCTTCTTTATCTCAGCATTCCGCGCGAGGACATGGGGAAGAGAATGCCATTCGTGGAGCAAAGGAAGAGAATGAGAGACAGAGAGAGTGCGAGAGAGAGATAGCCATCCTTACCTTTTTCTATTGGAGATTGAGTGCTGAAAGGGAAGGGTGTGGAATGGAGTCTCTCCCTCCCTCTCTACGTGTGCTCTTCGATCATGGTGATAGGTAGGTGTCCCTAGGCCTGACCATACATAACCGAAGAAACACCCGCCTCTTCCTCTGCCTCCGAAGACGGAGTCCCCTCGGTGGAGAGGCGGAGACTCGGCTTGAGGGCGCTCCGGGCGGGTGGCCGGAATTTCAAGGTGTGGATCTCCGACTTCTCCTCATGAGACGTTCGGTTCGGAACGACTGGGGCAGGGGGTGTCGCGTTTTTAGGTTGGAGCCACCTAGAAATGCTGGGTGTTCCGCCCTGGCTTTTTTTTTAACCACCAAAGAAGGGGACTTTCTGAAGGACCGGCAAGCGGGCGTGTCGTTTTTTGAGGTTAGAACCACACAAGTCGTTGCATCTGTATGGTCAAGAAAAACAGCACAAATCTCCAGGTCCTCCCCTCCCCCCTCCCCCTCCCCCCCCCGGCCACACAACAAGTGGATTGTCCTTACACCTTGTGTGCTGACTGTTCGCAACTCACTGATTTCTTGAGGGCAACAGAAGGCCCCCCATTCGGGCTCCCAGCCAAACAAGCAGAAGCCAACCACAATAGAAAACAAGCAAGCCGAGCAATCAACACCAATAAACACTTAGACCATCTCAAATCAAGTCGGAAGTCGGGGTTAAGAGAAATCAATATCGCTGTGAAAGGGGGCTCCAGTGATATCTTTTGGGTCTTCTTGCTGCACTTGTGCTTCATTTCCGCATATGGCTCTGGCTCAAAAACATGGACCCAATATGGCCCCTTGGTAAACGGAAACAAAGACACAAGGACTAAAACCTGCGTAACCTTAGCTGTTTAATGTTGAGCCACAGCCATATCTTTTGGGGGCATCTCTGCTTTGCCAAGCTTGTGCGAACCATTCCCAGCTCCGGTCTCCTCATCTCCGTACAGTCGGAGCTCGGAGACCTTCTCCTTCACCTCGTTGCCAGCACCTGGCGGCGTGAAAAGTGACCGCGAGGCTTCCCCAAGAGGACATGGGAAAAACACCCCCAAATCGCTGTTGCCTTGAAACTACCCTCCCACCAGCTAACATGGTGTGCACAGACCCCTGTAGAAAGACTACTTTCCTCTTAGTTAGTTGGCTCTTTGCACTTCCCTGTTAGTTGGGAGGTAGAACGCTTAGTTCCATGACTGCAGGCCAAGGGCATTGGGATCGGGATGCGCACGTCGCGTCTTTGGATTCGAATCCCGAATCCCGAATCCGGAAACTCGCTCCGCGAGCGAGTCAAGAGGTCTCCAGTCTCCAATTCTCAAATCGAGCGCCTCCAGGTGTCCTGTCAGGCCGTCTTTGAAACAGCGGAAGGTGCCATGTCTTTACCTTCCCACCCTTCCACCACCTATGTCTTGATCAAGTGGCGATGAGGAAGGAAGAGGTGAGAAGAGATAGAGTGAGATGATAGAGGGAAGCGGTCGTAATCCAGGTGTGTTACATCATATAAACGCCGACCCGTTCAGTGCTGTTCCGCAAAGGAAACTTCCCACAAACAATGGCCAGTTGCTTGGCCTGTCTTCAACCACGCAAAAGGGGGATATATAACCTTTTGTTGTGGAACATCTGAACCACCCAAAAAGGGCTAGCTTGTGGCAAAATGGGAAGAGGATGCCAATCCGGCGAGCCTTGCGGCTTCCCTTTGAACCACCCCCAATAACAAATAAGGGCCACATCCATCCCGAGGTGTCTTTCGGTTTAGAAACAAATTGGACCCCCATCCAATGCAATCAGGATGTCATGGTTCCGTTACAGCCCTTTAGAAAACAAGCCCAACCCACCCATCTTGGGCACCCACTTCCCATCGAGTTGGGCCAAAAAAAGGTCGCCCAACTTTTGGTTTACCACAAAGAAACGGCACCCAACCGCCCCAAAAAGTGATGATCAAGTTCAAGTCCCGGAAGATCTCCGAGACGTGAGCCTTCCCCCCGTCCCCCGGATCCACGTCGTCGGATGCATCGGATCCGGATCGATTCGGGGCCCCCGGCTGGGTGTGCAGAGGTACCGCGCCGCCAGCGAGGGGTCGCCCTCCTCGAAGCGCTGGGCGTGGTAGGGCCGCTTCTCCGCGTACTCCGCCACCAGCTCCTCTGCGCCTCCAAAGGTCAGGCGGCGACCAGGCTGGAGGTGGCCACGTGTGTTCCCGCGAAGGGATCCACGGAAAAACGAGGGGTTCCACCAAAAGAAAGCCGGAAACATCTGAAGTCAAGCCATGGTGTTCCAAGCCATGGTTGCCCTTAGGCGGCAGGCCATGGGAAGTGGCCCAAGAGATGCACTACGTGTCCGCCTGCGAAGTTCCAGAACTCCCGGATGGCCTGGACCTGCTCCTGAGAAGAGAACACCCATCCCCGGGGTTTCAAAGGGTTGGGAAACTGATGGGTTTCATAGGTGATTCCTTGAGGGCTACACACTTTTTGGTGGCTGAAAAACGGAGAAGCCAAAGGAACCACCATCTTTGGGGTCCCTGATTTTAAGACACGCCCTTGATTTAATGGGACATTTTCCCTCTCCCCCCCCGCTGTCAAACCGACAATCGACTTCCAGCAGACTTTCGGCTTACATCGGTGTGACTATTGTGCGTGCCCTTTGTCAGGTTGAACCAAAAGGACAATCGCCCAGTTTGTGGATCCCCTATTTTGACACGTACGCGCACACACGCACACACATATTGGGAAAAGGAGTTGGCTTGGGCCCTTCTTGGGCCGGATTCCTTTGAAAGGATCCGCTCAATCAAAGGGGAGAACGAAGCAGCTTCCTAGGACGATGTGGACATCGACAGGGTCTTCAAAAGGCCCGTGCTCGCTTTGATGGGTGGATGAATCAAAAGAGACGCCGAGCCCAAGATCGAAGGCTTCACCCTTTGGGTGGTCATGAAAGATGGAAGAAAAGGACCTAGATGGATTTCAACCGGGGACCAAGATGGGGAAACCAGAAGGGACATCCAAGGGTTTCAGACAAACTTGGATTGCAAACGTCAGCTTCCCCAAGCCTATGGCTGGAACCCGAAACTGCGGCCTTCCCAGCAAAAGACTATCCACTACTTTTCTGTCAATTGCTCTGGGCTACGGTCAATATTCACCAGGCGCATAGAGGACTCCTTCCGACAGCACCAAATGAGTCATAATCAAAACCTGGTACAAACATGGTGAACCCAGAACCATGCCTCAAGAATTAGAAAGGCGGAATTCCGCAACTCTTTCCGGCTGGGTCTTCCCCTTACTAACCTTCATCTATCCCCAGGTTTTGAGCAGGCGGCAACAAATGGGGCAGACGAAATTTCCTCTCGCCCCTCTGGCCTTCCTTGAGCTTTCTGAGGTAAACCGATTCCCACGCAACCGACAACTTGCAGGGGATCCCCTTTGGCAGAATTCCAAGTAAAGCCGAATTTTTGGCTGCGTCTCGTTTGGGGGAAACCCGAAAAACTGGTGGTGTTGTCTTTTTTTGGGATTTTCAACTTTAAACCAACCCCGAGCAGGGTACCCTCAATCATTTTTCAGGAAACCACTAACATCGTGTTGTTTCCTCTTGGTTTCTCTTTAAAACCACCAAACACGAATATCCAAAAAAAATAAAACAAACAGAAACAAAAACAACTACAGACCCGTATGGATATGTGCTAGACTAGGGGACCCCAAAACGATGGTTTTCCTTTTGGCACGGGAACCTTCGAAAGGGCGCATTTTGACACATGCGGGTTGATCAAAAGGTCTTCTGCATGGGATGACTTTGGTTGGAAAACCACTAAGATGACATTTCAACCACATGGGAAAGTTCATTACCCGTGCTCATGTTTCCTTTTGGTTCCCCGACAAAAACAAAAAACAACACATTCCACAAAGGTTCCAACCAAGGTCCCATCAACAAACAGACACGCCTATAGTCCACTGGGCAAGGCTTCTCACTTTCAGGTGGGAACCGTCTTCACGGCCAGCGGCCACATCGAGGCCCCGGTGCATGCCATCCGCCGCGGCCGTGGCGTCATCGCAGGAGGAGAGGCTCATGCGGCCCGAGGCGCGGGTCCTCGGCTCGCTCAGAGCGAGCGAGCGAGGCGCGGGGTGAGCGACCCCCGGCCGGGCATGGGACATGGAACCCACGGGGGTCGAAAAAGAAGAAGAAAAGACAACCACTTTTTTCAAAGGAGTTTCCTGCAACAACAAGAACAGAAAAAAAAGAACAAAACACCAGCTCTGGAGATCTGGTTTGCTGGCAAGAAAGGCAGTTGCTGCGGACACGCCTTTTACTGCAGAGGGTTAGACTATGTTGTACGGATTCAGATGAAAGTCTGATAAGGAATTCTCCCATGCCGGATGGTCCGTGGACAGGTCCTCCCCTTATGATTCCTCTGTCCTACAGAAATGGTCTTTGACTGGGACCTTCTCCCTCTTGCCCATCTTTGGTCTGGGGGAAAAACCGATCACAACGAGGAACCCCCCAACCATCCCAAAAGGTTGGCATCTCCCAAGGGGAATGCACTTCCTGAAACCTTCATACCAGCCCGGGAAAAGGAGGGAGCTTCATAGCAGGTGTATACATCCAGCCCTTTTTCCTGACCAATAACACGTCTAACCCTTCCCCGTTTCCCACTTGACTGCTCTTCTTCGCTTCTTGGACCTCTGGAACTTTTTCTAAGTGAGTCGAGCTCGGTGGCCCCTCCCCGCTCGTCTTGATTGAACAAAAATGTGTTTCCTGCGTTGCTTTCTGCCTGCGTTTTTTTCCTTGTTCCAGTTTTTGTCATGGAATCGAAGAACCACTGAAGGGAAAAGCTTCCGAACCATGTTTCTCCCACCCGTCCCTGCATTTTTGCTGTTTTTCCCCCCTTCCTTTCGGCGAGGATTGAGCCATCCACAGGCTGGACAAAGATTTTTAAAGACTTTCTCGAAGTTCGTGCCACATCCGTCCCTGTTCTCGATTTGATAGCTTTCCCTTTGAGTTCAGAACTTGGTTGCTGCTGACCCCCTGCAAAAGGTTGATAACTTTTGGGGGGTTTAGTTTGGAAAACCCAACTTGATTTCAACCAACAAGTTAAAGTCTAAAGATCCAACCCAGCAGTCATGAGAAGGGCTCTCTTTGCAGCTGCAGCACACTGGCGGCTCGGGAGGCTCCGAGTATTCGGAAGGCGAGGAGGGACACTCCTGGCGATCGAGTCGAGTCGCATTCTCCGCACGAGCTGCGCCCATAAACCATCTTGCTGGTGCCCAGCAGGGAATGAGGCTAGGTCCTCCAGTAGGTTAGAATAAGTTGGTACCGGATTTGTTTTTTTCTGTTGTCTATTTTAGTAGGGGAACCCTCTCACAAATGGTAAAAGGGCACTAGTGGGGGACCCAGGAGGGAATGCCCCCTATAAACCATCCCTTGCTTGTGGTTTCCTTTAAGGGAATCCCCAGATTCATTCCCTCATTGCCAGCTGAGCAAAAGCAAGTACACCATCGACTGTGGGAACATAGTAAAGGTTGATACAGCCTCAATGAGACGCAGAACAGAACCACCTGCTAATTTGCCACTATGGGTCTTGGGCGCTGCGCAATGGATTCTGCAATTGGATAAACCAGGGCTGGACAACGCCTTTCTTTGTGGGAAACAGCCAAAGCACTTCCCAATGCACCCTGCGCAAGCGTTCTGCATGGGTCTCCTTTCGCGCGCAACTTGCGCATCACTTGCGCGCTTGGGTCTCCCGCGTGGAAAAAGTAAAACAACAAACAATAGGTTTGCCAACTATTGTCGTTCGGGTTGGTTTTGGGACATTGGCTTTTTGAACATCATCGGCATATCCCAAAGTAAAGGAACCATGGTTTTGGGACATTGGATCGGGCAAGTACAGAACTGGTAGCTCCCTATGCCCCTCCTCCTCAAAGGCAAGGTGGGATACCTTCAGCTCGGGGCTCCCAAACCAATCAGTCCCCATGTGCTTCTTGGCCTCCTGGAAAAAGTAAACATATTACCAGTAGCGATAAATTCCAACTTTAAAACCAACAAGGGGAAAACAACCATATTCAAATTTCAGCCAATGGAACAACACCAGCTGAAGGTTGCCACACGCGGCCAAAAAGGATCTGCGGTGCTTAGGAGACTCGTGACTCGATGCCGGGCTCCTCCTCCTGCTCCTCCGCCTCCCGGCGACGGCGGCCTGGGGTCGTGTGGACTGGGCGGCGGCAACAGCGGCAGCGGCGCCGGCAGCAGCCGCAGGGCAAGGCTTCCTCAGCCCAACGCCCTGCCACTACCAACCCCAACCGCCACCAGCCCCTCCGCCCAAGGGGTAGGGGTCAAGGCGCCGTAAAACAAAAATTGGGGGATAGAGTCTCGATAGAGTAGAAAGCAACTAAAGGGGGGGGGGTTCTTGAGTTCTTCATACCATAGGGGGGGGGGTCTAGTAGAAAACAAGCATCTTGAAACCCGGGAGGTTCTTCATGGAAACAGCTACCACAGCCACTTCAGAGTTGGCGCCTGGCTAAACATGACATGCTCGACACCTTGAAGTGCCTTCCTGGAGAGTGCCCTAGCGTTGCCACATCCGAAGCAGTTCTGAGGTCTTGTCTTGGGGAAAGGGTGCTCAGGAGAGATCGTTGGGAGTTGCATATGCCATGACTCGAACACCTGAACAAGGCAAAACTTCCGAGTAAAAGGCTTTCGAATGTTCGTCGTTTTACTCTCGACTCCGTGACTCGAAAAACCCATCAAACTGGGTGATTCCACCCCGAGGCTAACTGGGATCTGGCACGATCCAGTCAAAGCCTCGGATCTGGCACTGTTCACCTTGGATGAATCAACCCAAATCCTAATCGGGGTGTGGTTTTTGTTTGCCTCATGGATCTTGGAGACACCCTGATTAAAAAAAAAGGTTCATTCACCGTGGTGCCCCTCGCTTCCGATCCAGTGGAGCCAAAAGAAGTCCACGAACTTGTAGCTTGCCGCTCAATTGCTCCAAACGCATATTTGAAGGTCCCTCAACTCCATCGGAAGCGAGTTTTTGGGGTCCTCATTTTTCAGGGACACCGCCGAACCCAAAAAGCTGACGGCACTGAATCGTGTGCCGAGGCGCCACGAGGCCGTACCACGCCTCCGCCAGAAACGCGCCCAAGGCCATCCGCAGCACCGCGCGCTTCCTTGGGCGAAAAAAAACCGATCGATGTATGGCGAGGCAAGTGGCTCGTCTCTTTTGAAGTTAGACCCCCGCCTTTTAAACCCAACCACAAGGGAGTCCCCCAAAACAGGCACGCACACACACACACACACCCCTCATGTCAGTGGTACTTCGCCGGATTTCTGAAGGGAATGAACCAAGTGTCGGATCTAAGGAACCAAAGCTTGAGGACGTCAATGTCAAAACCGCCTGAGCTACAAGGATTCAGATCCTCAGCTCAGGCGATTTTGGTCGGCCACGATGTACCCGTCAGGGACCGGGAACTAGAAGCCTAGGGACTCCATCAGGGCCTGGACGGAAATAGCCCATGTCGACCAGAGATCCATCGACCTGATGCACTAGGGGAACCAACTGGGATACTACAAGTTGCTTTCCCTAAGATGTATAGCTGTATAGGTGTATAGGTGTAAAGGTGTGTGCGCGTGTGTGTGTGTGCGCTTGTGTTTTTGGAAGGCACCCTTTTTGTTTTGGTTTAAGTACACTCCGAAAGAAAACCAACAATCCCCCCCCCCCCCCGGCATTGTGACACATGCCGCCATAAATTATCTGCCTCCAGATTCTCCTGGGTCGGTTCAGATGTTCAGAACCGCTTGGTTCTGTGTCCATGCAAAGTCCCTGAAGCCCAAAATTACCCACGTAGGGACCACTTTGCTTTTCTCATCAAATGGGCTTTCTAAAGGCAAAGCACATGGGGAGTTGAGTGAGTCGCCGGTTCTTGAAATCCCCCCCACCCCCAAAACAAAAAACACCACACACACACAAAGTAATAAGAATTGAAGAACAAAACAAAGAACACACAAAACAACAACCGTCATGAAAGTCAGAATGAAAACCTGGTACTAAAGTGGTAAAAACACAAACACGTGCACCTATTTCTCTGCAATGTTTGCAATAATTCCACAACCTGAAATAAGGGATCTCTAAGCAAAGGGCATACATCACGGGTTTCGCCCGAATCGGTGAGCTCGAAACATAGGCAGATCCGTGGCTCAAGCAGCTCCTTACAAACTTTCACTCTCCCGATTTTGGATCCTCCGAGTTATGACTTCTCCAAAAAATTGTTTGGGAGCCGTTCCCAAGAAGGCCAGGCGATTCAGTGCTTGTCGTTGATCCGTGAAGAATGGGTGAGGGGCAGTCGGTCAAGAATGCGTACCCAAAGTGGCTTGCCCTGGTAAATGGAACCAAAGACTAAAACATGCGGTCATTTGGTGGCTTTATTTTGACTGATACCCATTTTGATTGCGTTCACTTCGGCCAAAGCGTCTCCCTCCTTGACAGCTTCACCTTCTCGATTCGCTCCGGCTCATGGGACGTGCCCATCTGCGCCATGTAGGCCTGGGGGTCTTGCAGCGCTTCCTCGGAGAGCCAAAACGAGAGAAGTGTTCACGCCACATATCTTGGTACGGTGGCGAAAGTGGCCTTAAAGAGGGCGTATGACTTCCCAGAAACAAATACGGGGCCAGGGGTACCATGCAAAATCAGATGAGAAAGGCCCGTGTCCAGATTTGCAATGGAAGCCAAACGAGAATCCCCGAAGGAACACATAGCAAATGCGTCCGAAAACCACAGGGACGCTTACCTCCTGGGTGGATTGACCAAAAAAAGGTGGCCAAACTTCTGGTTCTCCACGAAAATGGAAAGACAATGTGCCACCTGCACTGCTCAGGGGCCTTTGGCCCGGATTCAAAAGGAACAAACTCGACCAAAGCAGAACTGAGTAAACTATCTCCAGATAGAAATGGGCACCCCCTTTGGGGGCCGATTCCATTTGTTTGGGTCCATCCACCAAACCCAAGGGGAAATCACTGGGTGCCACTGAACAACCGACACGTCTCACCCAAGTCCCTGAAGAAGAATCGCCTGTTTCTCGGGGACTCCCCAAAGGCTGCCAAACAGTTCAACAGTTTGGATTGAGACAAATCAAGGTTTTGTGCCGCTGTATGTGACCCTGACCATGAGCGACCGCAAGCAGGGCAATCCGTCCCTAGCGGATTGCACGACTTCCCTTTGCGCGGACTCCGGTGCACTCGTTTGCCCGCATCAAGATAAGAGCCCTTTTTCTGGCCTGAGAAGGAAAAAGGGGAAGGGCCTTTTGGAAGAAACGCCATTGCTTGAGCTTCAGTGGCCAGTACCACCGACCACTTGTTGGTTGATTTCAACCGGAAGCGGAAGTTGAAATGTGGAGCCAAGGCCCAGGAAATCTGCGAAGTCACCATGGCACCTCGCTTCTTGTGGCTGATTTCAATGGGGATCGTTCCGCCCAACCAGAAAGGAAACGCCAGCCGGGTGAAAAGAATGCCGAGCCAAGCGCTGGAATTTTGAGACTCTTTGATCCGAGGTCGGTGCCCACTCACTTCCTGATGAGCCAAAACAAGGAACCACAGCTTTTATTTAGCAAAATGGTCCACCCCCAAGAAGTATTTAATTCCAGGAACTCAGGAAGTGAGATTATCAGATTTACCCTCCCTCCGCTAACTGGCCTCATTATTTTACCACGATCAAAGTCACCCCCCAAGTGGCTTCAGGGAAACAACCCCGTGTTCCGCCTTCGGCCCCTAGAAACCATCAACAGCTTTTTTGTCCCGGACCTCGTTTTTTTTCTTCCCCCGTTTCGTGCGCCCAGTGGCCATGGCCCTGTCGAACTCCGGCAGCTGCTTCTCCGAGCTGCGGGCCATCGCCATCGCCTGCGAGTCTCCGGCCGCCCGCTCCGCCTCGACCTCCGCGGCGGCCTTCGCCATGATGGTGGCCGTCCTGAGACGGGCTATGGCCATGGCCGGTGGCCGGTGGCCGGTGGCCGGGGTATGACCCAGCCATATGGCGGGGGGGGGGGGGAAACGGGGGTTCCCGATTTTAAGCAACACTGTGCCCAAAAGAGGATTGGTCTCAAACAAATGACACACCCATATGGGGATGTTTACTTTTGGCTTCCTCTAAAACTAACTAAACAAGGGGCTAGCCTCAAAAGAAAAACAAACCCATATACCTTTCCGCAATCCCACAAGCTGAAATGGGTGTTCCGGCCACTAGGGCAAACTAAACTGTGATTTGCATGCTGGGCAGCTGGGCCAGTTTGGCACCGGCTCCCAGACACAAATCGAGCATTTTCTGAAAGTACTGGCTAACATGAAATTGTTGCAACAGTTAGACAGTTAGACATGTCTGTCAGGGTTGCTCACAGACCCAAGGGCAGACATTTGGCAACTGGTAAGAGGAAATCAAAAGAACGCAAACCGATCTGTACGAACAAATGTCCGTGAAAGGTCGTAACTTATTGTCGCACATCTCAGAGCAATGAATCCAATCGCGTGTTGGACGTGGTTGCAGTCCGAGAAGACGAGTTACCCATTGTTAGACTTGGCTTTGAGAGGCTGGGACAATTAAATCGAAACCTTGGATGAATAGACAGGCGGGGAGAAAGGGGGTCGTTCAGATGGGGGGTCCTATCCTCCAACATTATACTTAGATCCAGTTTGAACATCAAGTGAGACCCCATTTGTTGGTCCCTCTTGGAGGGGCCTGGTCACTCGTCCCTTTCTTTCCTCGAAAAGGGACACTCCCGTTTCCACCTTGTTCATGGAACCGGAACAAAGGCCAAGGAAAAAAGGACACCGGTCCATGGACCTGCGCAGGCCCATTGTCTACTGGGTTGCAACCGCGTGCATGGGCCGCCCTTCGGCTGCATCCCAGGGTCCAGCAAGGAGGGATCAACACGGTAGTGTGGAATGTGGTGAGGCGAGGGTGCAAGGTCCTCTGATTCATGAAGACGCCGGCTCACCTCCCCTGAAGAGGCGCTTAGCATAGGTGGACATTACTCCGGGTGGAATCCTCTTGGTTTCGTTCTGAAACCATCCAACAAGGGATCCGATTCCTGTTTTGAGACACCAGTTTGCTTCGCTGGACGATTACGGGGGGAGCGAGACGAAATCCACCAGCTCCAGGAAGTACAGTTGAAAAGAAACTCATCCAAAATGGGGTACCTTCCAAACAAGAGGGGTCCAAATACCCAAACCTGAAGTTCTGGCTAGCTGCCGAGCCGGTTGTTTCGGCGATAACCCCACAAGGGAAATATCAGGACCTCCTTTTCGAGGCGCATGGTCTGATGCAAGTCGTCCCTCTGAGACTCCATGGATCGCATCCGCGCGTGATGCTTCACCTGCAAGAAGGGAACTCGAATCGAAGCGGGTGTCGGTGCGCTTCTCCTTTCTGGGTGCCAGCCGCCCCAGAATCTGGGGTCTTTGCCGAGCAAGAGATTCAAACACTAAGGAATTCCTAGAAATTAATTCTCGGCACTGACCCTGTTCGGACGGAAACGCATGGAGTTTTTGACGCAAACGCCTTGAGAAAGGAAATGCCGGCAAACTACCGCAACACGCCCGCAAAAAAAAAGGGGACACATCTGCAAAAAACACACACCAACGCAAACTTACGCAAACCGCTAAACCGCCTTGAGAACCAGAACGCCTAATTAGGACTTCCTGTGCATTGGAATCTCCAGGTGTTATTTTTCGTTGGAAACCAACTGAAACGCGCCAAACTGGGTTCGAAACGCCCGCCACATTCGATTTGATCGCGCCTGGCTTATGGACACTTGGTTCTCCGCAGCATCTTCACCCAGCTGCTCCTGGCAACTTGAGCAGAGGATCAGGTCAACAAGGGCTTGAGTCGGCTGCAAGGCACCCACCCCAAACTATTTGGGCCCAAGTACTGTTAGTGTTGATTTGGATTGGTGGTTTGCAGGTTGGGTGCCGACCCGCAGTTTCAAAAACACGAAATGCCCAAAGCACCAGTCCCAGCTGTGAAATTAAGGGTACCTTGATAACACGGGATCTCCACTCCATTAGGCAACAAGGGATCTTTGTGGGGTGTTGCACTTTCACCTGTGAAGCTCTCAAGGTACTTCACGTCAGAAAGTTTCCTTCTTGCTTCCCTGGCGGTTGCAGCCTGGTCATCAAAAACGCCAGTCGAGCGTACAGTCGAGAAGTGCGAAATGTCGCAATTTGCCATTCCTCCTAGGCCCTCATGGTGGACAATGGGGGTGCGACCTCGAGATCCCTCGGATCGGCGCGCCTCCTTCAAAACGAACTGGAAGTCCACCTTCTCCGCCTGCCAGAAACCCGAGGCTTTTCCTAACTCCAGTGACTGATTCGTGTTTCGCTTTACTAGCAATCAAGCAGTTCGTTTGCCGGAGAAAAAAACGAGCAATACATCCGAGGCTCGTTTTGGCAACTCGTTTTTCCCAGGTCCTCCAGTGGAGAGGTTGGAATAAGGGTACCCTTTTTCTGTGTCTTTTCTGGTAGGGAACCCTCCGCAAAAAAAGGGTAAAAGGGGACTACTGGGGGACCTTGTACAGAATCCAGTGCCTGTTTCGAGGTTCGCTTTCATAGCAATCAAGTAGTTTGCCGGAGAAGAACAAAGAGCAAAACACGAAGCAGGCAAAAAGAACCAGGCAAAAAGCAATCCGGGCAACAATTGGGATTCGTGCCGGCATTTTGGGAGGTTGAGATATTCACACGCAAAATTAAGTAATAGGAATCTGAGAGTAAGTCTTGGCAATGCAACATTTAGCATTGGCAAGAACAAGGAAGTACTGGACATTTGAGAGTGAGTCTGGGCAATACTAAGTTTGGGATTGGCAATAGCAAAGTAAGTGCTGGGAATCTGAGAGTAAGTCTTGGCAACGCTGGGCAAAAACAAAGGTAAGTACTGGGAATCTGAGAGTACGTCTTAGCAATGCTACAATTAGCATTGGCAATAACATCTGCGAGTAAGTCTAGCATTGGCAGTAACAAGTTAAGTACTGGGAATCTGAGAGTAAATCTTGGCAAAGCAAAATCTAGCATTGGCAATAACAAAGTAAGTACAGGGAAACTACGTAAGTATTGGGAATCTGAGAGTAAGTCTAGCATTGGCAATAACAAGTTAAGTACTGGAAACCTGAGAGTAAGTCTTGGCAATGCTAAATGTAGCACTGGCACTTAAGTACTGGGAATGTCGAAGTTCACAACAGAAGGCGTGCTTATGCCTTCGTGTCCAAAGCGGGCGCCGCGGATTCGCCCTTTTACACTGCCATGGCTGCGCTCACCGGCGCGAATGCAAGGTCAGCCGCAGGCTGGTTGGAAAAGAAATCAAAAGGCTCAATTGGCCGACTTGAAGCCAATGCATGCGGATGCGTGATGAAACCACGCCTGTACGCAAACTTTCACACTGATGCTATTTTCTTTGGCTTCAAGGAGGTGTTCTCCCTGAGCTGGATCCATGGCTTGGACAGCCATTCCTCAAAGGTTGCAACCAGCTTGAAATCAATCTTCGTGAGCGCATCGGCCCACATCAGGGATGTTGGAAGCCAGTGTACCTGCTTGGGCGACACTGTCTGCTGAACACTACGGATGTTAATTAAACTCCGGCGGTCAGACATGGAAGGGTTCTCCGCCACGAGGCAATCGTAAAGCGACTTGGCATCGGTTATGTGCAAACTGGAAAGCCGCATGCCCGTGGTGAAGGCGGCCTTGCAATACAGCAATTCACTCAGGCACAGATTCAGTCGGCTCCTTCATCAGCTGCCACTGCTTCTGCTGCCAGGGTGGAACGGCATATGCGACCGCTTCTAGCTGATTTCCAATCGGCCAAAGTGCCGTGGCAAACCACCTCAGTCACTTGAGGCGGGGCCAGCATCACCAAGACGCCGTATTGGCTCTTGTCTTGGGCGTTGGCCCAACTGCTGTCAGCGAACGTCACCACAGACGTCTGCTTGTTGATGGGGATGTCCATGAAGGTGATCCCTGCGTTGGGGTTGGCCCGGACGTGGTCCATGACGTCCAGCAACCGCTTCAAATCCATGTACTCTGTCTCCATGCCGCGATTGCTGAGGGAGACGGTGGCTGCTAGCTCGGGCCTTGTCTGGCTGGCAAGCCATTGAAGGCATCCGGAAACACTCCGGAATTCTTTCCACTCCTCCGGGGTGAGCTTGGAGTCCTGCTTGGAGCGTCCTCGAGCGATCGTTACCGAGGTGAGGCCGTCGATGAAGGCCTTCTGTGTCACCTTGATGCGGTACCTACCTTTTTCCAAGAGCAAGACTATCTCCTTGCCGCGGAAGATACCTGGGGTGTCCGTGGCCAACTTGGTCACTGAGCCCCATGTGAAGAGCTCCTCCAGGATGTGAACCGGGAACTCCTTGTTGTAGGCGGCCATAAAGTCGTCGACATGCGCTATCAGCACCGCACACAACTTGTTGTCGGGGCCGACGTAGTAGTAAAGACAATGATCTAAACAGTGTTGTCGAAAACCTTTCTCACGTAGGCGCCGATGAACACGTCTGTTCCAGACATGGGGAGCATTGCTCAACCCGTAGCAGTTGCCCACCACCTCGTACAGTTCTGCAGGAAACGAGTTGGTCTCTGTCATGAGGGGGTCCTTGGGTGGCCACATGAAAATGGGACCGTCCCTCTCAGACGGGTCCTGCTCGCCCTGCAAGAAGGCGCTCTTGGCGTCGCTCAACCAGAGCGTCCAAGGAGAGTCATCGTTGTTGACCTCCCTGTTATAGCCGGCTGTTGCGATGGCCAGAACCAAGTACTCAGACAACCTTGATGGTGTCGGAGCATCTCGCGTCAGCCGGAATAGGTCCGGGTCGTTGCACCCGATCAGGACCACGCGGCATTTGGCTCGCACTTCGCCTTGTCCACGATTCTTATCTCGATATGCAGCTCGGCTCTTGAGGACTCGCCGAAGCATCTTGCGGTCCTTGAGTATTTTCTGGGCCTCGGCGCGGGGCACAGGTTTGATGCCGCCCCAGTAGAGCCAACTCTCGTACTCCGCCTTGGTCGCGTCAAGGTACTTCTCGTAGGTCATGCGTGGGAGCTTAGTCAGCTCTCTCCAGGGTATCTCCCGGTCAAGCTGCTTGGCTTCTTGGCGGCTCATCTGCCGCTGGTTGGAGACGGTGAGGTTCTCATCGTCCGTTGAAGCATCTCCATCATCCTTGCCCAAGGGCGCATGTTCGCCCATTTCCAACTTCCGCTCATCGCTGTTGAGGTAGCACTTGTAGAAGTGATTCGAAGCAAAGGGCAATCGAGGTTCAAAGATCTCGGCCTCCTGCTCCACACAGACATCGCCGTTGGAGTGCTTGGACAGCCACACATGGCTGGTAAAGGAAATGTGTTCTGAGCCACGTTTTGCTGGCAAGATGTCTGGCGCGGACATTGGTTCCTCAGCTTGGACAGGCTGACTGGACTGCTGGTGGTGCGAAGTTGAGGGTGCAAGTGATTGTGGAGGTGCTGCTGAAACCTGGCTGCGCTGATCAGTTTGTGGTGTCATGACTTGAGGTTCGGGTTGTTGTGCGATTGGTGTCAGCAGTGGTGCTGAATCTGGTGCCGGTGCTGCTGTTGCTGGTGGTGGTAATTGAGGTGTCTGAGACGTTGGTGGTAGCTCGCGCGCTGGTGTCTTAGATCTGCCTCGCCGCCTTGGTGTTGGAGGCATTCTGCCCGAGCGTGGTGAGAGGTTGAAGGTAATCGACCGCTGGTCGTAGTTGATCTGCTGTTGAAAACTTTCTTGATGCTGCTGTGTATCTTGTTGAACATGTTGCTGAATGGTGGTTGCTTGTCGCTTGCTGGCAGGTTCCTCTGAGGCAGAGGGCGTCGGTCTTCTCTGTGGTTGCTGTGATGCTGCTGGTGGTGAAGGTAGTGCGAGAGGTGCTGGCAAGGATTGAGGTTCACGAAGTCCGGGCGGAGGTCGTCTCCAGAAGAAGGTAGAAGTTCCAGTCCAGGGCTCGTGCAATGATTGCTGGCACCGGGGATCTCGCCACTGATCCAGAGGTAGTTGCTCCTCCGCGGCGTTGATGTAGGTCTTGCGGTCGTCACCGAGGTCGGTAAGGGAAAAGGTGCACTTGTCCTGGTGCGGCACATAGAGATCATGCCGCGGCCGTACATGCACTCGGATCACCTCGTCCTCGTTGTAACGCCAGTAATCGTTCTGATGCTGAACTTGTGGAAGGTCCTCGTCAGGGAGAGCAAGGTCTTGATCAGCTGCTGCGTCTTCAACTTCTCCAGGTGGCTCCTCGGTGTGGTTCTCCCAGAAGTCATCTCTCATGTTGCGGTCGGCGTCCTTCAGGATAGCGATGTCCTCGCTAGTGGGTGTCCAGGACTCCCATCCAACGGCACATCTGAGCTGGTTGTTCGCGACCTTCACTGTGGTCGAATTGACCTGAAGCCAACTGCTCCGTTGGTCGGGATCCGCCGCTAGGAACCTGGCAAGGCACCAAGAACCTTTCTTGTGCTGACGCGACTTCCCGCTCCATCGCCAGTAAGCCACTGGCTGACCAGGTTGTAGACCGTGTAGATCTTGTTGAGGTCGAGTTCGACGAAGTAGGGCGCGCCGCATGGCGCTGCTCGCATTGTGTTCTGCAAGGGCTCGAAGAGCGTCGGCACGAAGAAGTTCAGGAGAGAGTCGACCATCTTGATCCGAAGGTGAAAGCACCAAAGACCTGGGGTCGCTAATGAGGTCGCCAAGGGGTCGAGCCACCTTGCCAAAAACGGCCTGGCTGGGGCTCCTTCCATAGCTGAAGGTGCAGCTGTTGATCGTGTGCAGGATGGCTACCAAAGCCTGATCCAATTCCTTCTTGAGCGCGATGCCAAAGTTGTCGATCACGCGCTCAGCCAGCGTGCGCATCAAGGCATTGCGTCTCTCTATCCGGCCGATGCGATTGTGAGCTTCGGCAGGAACTTGATCATGAAGTATGCCGTGTCGAGCATGCCAACTAGCGACTTCACCTCCATAAGCTCCATCTTGATCACACTTAAAGTGTAAAGGCAGACCCAGGGGTCGGTACCAAATCTCCAGGATGCTGCTGAGCACGTCGGTAGGTGCCCTTGATGGCAAAACCTTCGCCGCGTGATAGGCTGTTGCCTCATCTGAGATTCCTATCACGGGCACTGCTTCGCCTGTGATCAGGCGAACGTAGACGATGTCGGACTGGAGGACCTCGCCGAAGAAACCGGTGTGGATGCTTGCAGAAGAAGAGGTCGGCTGTGGTCTCGGTATCCGTGTCCGAATGCAGCTCCCGCATCTCAAACAGTCCAGACCAGTAAGTACCCGCTTGGAGAGGTTGCCTGCGG